GATCTAACAGTTGAGTGGCAGCCTCTGGCGTAGAGTGTTTTATAATTCCAGGCTCATTTTCTCTCAGGAGTGAGTGAGTGAGTGAGTGTGTGTGTGTGTGTGTGTGTGTGTGTGTGTGTGTGTGTGTGTGTGTGTGTGTGTGTGTGTGTGTGTGTGTGTGTGTGTGTGTGTGTGTGTGTGTGTGTGTGTGTGGGTGGGTGGGTGTGGGTGAGTGTAATAGATCCTTTTTGGTACCAGTGATGAGTTGGACTGCTTGCTGCCTGTGGCTAAGGTTTTTCAGAGATCTGTGCCCCATCACTCTCTGTTGGAACTTGTCAAACTCAGGAGATGGGATCTGTTAGGAATTATAAAGCCCTCCTTGGGCAAATGGAAGTTGGGCTGGTCAAAGTCGAGCTGCAAGTGCTTCGTGTTCAGCAAGACCTGAAGAACAAGCCTGAAACCTGGCTGCTGTAGGCTTTGGGTTTTGTTGCTGTAATACTCTTTTACCCTGTTGAGAAAACACACTCTAATCTCAGCAATTTGACTGGCAGGAAGATGAAAAAGACTCGTGTGGCCTGAATAAATACAGCCCCAAAGTTATTTTTTCCCAGCACGGTGATTATTTTACTGATCCTGTTTTTCTGTAAAGTTTTTCTGGATAGAAAGTTAATGAGGTCAAATAAAAGGCAAAAGCTGGTGTTGATCTGAACATTGAGTCTCTGTTAAAGCGAAAATTTCTTAAACGGGACAGGTTTGCATACCGTCTTTGATCCCAGGTCTTATTCCTGATCCGTACTGGTTTAGGTGTGTGTGTGTGTGTGAGAGAGAGAGAGAGATTAGAGCCTAGGTTTATTTTCACTGATTTTGTATACATGGACTGGACACTATGTAGGGGGGGGGGGGGGGGGGGGGGGCAGTCAGCCACTGTCAACAAGCAACGGATCGTGAGAAAGACGGGCTGCTACTTGTGATCTCCGTGTTACACCCATCGACATAAATATATGGACAATGGGTTTCCATAGGCTCCAATAACAAGTGTTTCTGCTAAAATGGGAGGTGGCCACCACCGCCATTTTGACCGTGTCACAGGTTTCGTCAAGCCCAGACAATTCCATAAAAGGGAAGAGAGGAGGAGCTGAGGGTGGGGCTGTAAGGCTGGGATCAACTGACGACACCTGGTCGAACTAGCTACAAGCTAACCTGAAGCTAACCCAAAGCTAATGCGGAGGTGGGAGCTAAGCTAACGGAGGTAGCAACCTAGCTACAACCGGAGTTAACTGTGCACAACACCAGAGCTTCTGAGTCAGAGATACGCCGGGTTGACTGCTGGGTAAAACCGGGTGGAACACAGAGGTCTCGGAGACCTCCACAAGCCGGCAGCCGCACAGCAGACAAGCGCAGCTGCGACCTGAGATGCGCAGAGCTGCCGCTGGGGAGAACCAGGTGGAAAGGTTTCCATCCCAGAGCTCCACAAGCCGTCAGCCCGCGCAGCAGACAGAAGCCGCGATCAGACAGAGATGGACCGGGCTGCGGGGAGAAACGGGTGGAAAACATCGGTCTCCCGAGAGCTCCACAAGCCGATAGTCGGAACCCAGCTCCACCAACATGTTATATTTCAACCCATTTTCTAAAGTGCAGCTTTATGTTAAATGCACTGGGTTTTACCCTATTATATTTACATTTCATGGTTAAACAGTACATGTTAAAATCTAAGCTCATCTCGGCAGTGACCTGAAATACATAAATGTAATTTTACTTACAGAAAAAAATGAAGTGGAGACTCCTTGGACGCTCTATTAGTGCAATTAATGCCACAGCAAGTCATTTTGTTCAACAATTGCACAAAAAATATCGAAACAAGAATACACAAACACAGAGACTCAAAATCCCGGAACAGTTTCCAAGCCAGACCGAGGCCTTTCCACAGAGCTAGCTCTGTGGTCACGTGGGTCTGAGGCGGCAGTCACGTGGGTCTGGTGCTCATTAATTATACAGAATTTTAGGCTTTTAATACACTTAAACAGAAGAGTGAGAAAAAAATTCACCCCCCTCAGAGTTGTCGGGAGTATAAACTAGATAATTTAAACAAAAAACATGTTCTGGTACCAGGCTGTAAACATGTTTATTTCTGCTGTGAAATTGGTATTTTTAACATTGGAGTCAATGAGGATTTGCTCGTTTCTGACACCAGCCCCAAGCGGATGAGGGTGGAACTGCAATTTATTTTCACTTCCGGGTTTGACTCAATTTCAGAGCTGCATTGTGGGGGCCTGGTTACACCACAGCTGTCCACGTTAAACCGAGCTGCTGCCTCTCCGCTCTGCGCCAACAACACTTCAGCCTAACTACAGCAGCACGTCGGAGTCGTCCCTCTCCTGCTGTCGGAGAACAGAAATGTCACAAAGATGCATTTTCCTGACTCGAACCTTCGTCGTCGTGGTCTGTCGTCTGTTGTGGACGACAACACCTGCCTGTGATGGTGACGGCTCCCTCCCTGATGCGCTGAACAACTTCTACGCTCGGTTCGACAGGCAGAACGACGTGGCAGCAAGGAAGTCAATCCCTCCTCCGGACGACCAGGTGTTGTGTCTCACTACAGCAGAGGTGAGGAAAACTCTACGCAGAGTCAATCCACGTAAAGCTGCTGGTCCAGACAACATCCCGGGCAGAGTGCTAAAGGAATGTGCTGAACAGCTGGCGGATGTTCTCACCGACATCTTCAACATCTCTCTGAGCAGTGCCGTTGTTCCCACATGCTTTAAGGCCGCCACCATCGTCCCAGTGCCCAAGAAACCTTCTGTGTCCTGTCTCAACGACTACCGTCCTGTTGCACTTACACCCACCATCATGAAGTGCTTCGAGCGGCTAGTCATGACACACATCAAGACCCTGTTGCCCCCCTCACTGGACCCACTGCAATTTGCATACCGCCATAACCGCTCAACAGATGACGCCATTTCCACTGCACTCCATCTTGCCCTCACACACCTGGACAAGAAGGACACACATGTTCGAATGCTGTACATAGATTTCAGCTCAGCATTCAACACGATCATCCCCCAGCAACTGATCGGAAAACTGAGCATGTTGGGCCTGAACACCTCCCTCTGCAACTGGATCCTGGACTTTCTGACTGGAAGGCCTCAGTCAGTACGGATCGGGAACTGCACCTCCAGCACCACCACACTAAGCACGGGGGCCCCACAAGGCTGTGTGCTCAGTCCTCTGCTGTTCACACTGCTGACTCATGACTGTGTAGCAACACACAGTTCAAATTACATCATTAAGTTCGCTGATGACACAACCTTGGTGGGTCTCATCAGCAAGAACGACGAGTCAGCATACAGAGATGAAGTGCAGAGGTTAACAAACTGGTGTAAGGTCAACAACCTGTCTCTGAATGTTGACAAGACAAAAGAGATGGTTGTTGACTTCAGGAGGATACGGAGTGACCACTCACCACTGAGCATCAACGGCTCCTCTGTGGAGATCGTCAACAACATCAAATTCCTGGGAGTTCACCTGGACAAAGACCTCACCTGGTCCCTCAACACCAGCTTCCTGTACAAGAAATCCCAACAGCGTCTCTTCTTTCTGAGAAGACTGAGAAAGGCCCAGCTTCCACCAACGATGCTAACCACCTTCTACAGAGGAACTATTGAGAGCATCCTGAGCTGCTGTATCACTGCCTGGTTTGGGAACTGTGCAATCTCTGACCGCAAAACCCTACAGCGGATAGTGAAAACAGCAGAGAAGATCATAGGAGTCTCTCTCCCCTCAATCAAGGACATCTACACCACACGCTGCATCCGCAAAGCCACCAGCATTGTGGCTGACTGGTCACACCCCTCTCACACACTCTTCACACTCCTGCCATCTGGAAGAAGGTACCGAAGCATTCGAGCACTCACATCCAGACTGTGCAACAGCTTCTTCCCACATGCCATTCGTCTCCTCAACGAAAAGGGACTGGACTGATAAACGCATGCATGCACACACACTCACACACACACACGCATGCACACAAACACGCGAACACACTCATGTTCTGTCCTTAATTAGATAGTTTATTTTTCTTATATTTTTTCATGTTGTAAATTTATGTTGCATGTAGCACCTTGGTCCTGGAGGAACGTTGTTTCGCCTCACTGTATACAAACCGTATATGGCTGAAGTGACAATAAAGTTGATTGATTGATTGATTGATTGATTGATTGATTGATTGTAGCAGATTCTGAAACACTGGCGGGGGAAACGGGATCGATCAAAGGCTCTGACTTTTCGCTCTCAGGTTCCAGCTTGTGCTCACATTTTTGTGAACTCTCAAAGTATTTAAATCTGCTGTCAAGCCTCAAATCAAAATAACAGTTTTAGGAAAGAGAGGATCAAATAGTTGTTGAACTTGGGTAAAAACTCAGATAAAATGCACTCGTTTAAGATAAGTTTCTTTGTTACCATCAAAACAGGAAAAAAAAACCCAAATGAAAATCCAAAGGAACACTTTGGTTAGACAAAACAAAATAATGTAGCTAAATATAAACAGAAGCAGACACTTTGTAGCTACAAACCTGACATATTTTTCTCGGCTTGAGCTCATCAGTATTTAAAATCCGAATCTAGAATCTCTGTGGCGTGACTAAGGTGCATCACTGAGACGACGCCTCTATGATGACGTCATTGGTTCAGTTATGTTGACTTTTTCCTCAACTGCACCAAACTTAAGAAGTTTAAACTTTCTCAGCTAAATCTGCTTCTGGCCCGTTTTCCTGCACATCATTAAGAGCTTCTGCTGCTGGTTTCTGATAATCTGACTCATTCCAGTGCATTCTGGGATTTGTGGTTTTAGTGGGTTTTGTTCTTTAAGCCCACAAGCTGGTTATAACACACCTAAAACATGATTTTTAGAGTCTGGAGACTGATTTGTCTATTAGATCCATATGCCATGTCTCAGTTTGACTTTAGAGTTCCCTTTGAGTCCAGATGTGACAGATGTTTTCCTCCTTTTTGTCTCCCTTCATCAGCACCTTGTCCAGCTGCATGCACGCTGTGGTGGCGCTGCTCTACCCCTTCTCCTGGCAACACACCTTCATCCCCGTTCTCCCAGCATCCATGCTGGACATCGTCTGCTGTCCCACCCCCTTCCTGGTGGGGCTGCTGTCCAGCTCGTTGCCTAAACTCAAGGAGCTACCTGTAGAGGAGGTGAGCAGAGCGACTGATGAGAGCAGCATTCTTTCATACATGTGTTGCTGATTAATGAAAACATAAATATCAATATTAAAGGTGCAATTTGTAAGAATTCTATAGTGAAATAATCACAAAACAGTCAAAAGTCTCAGTCAAGTCAAGCTGGGGTGTTTTTTAGAAAAAAAATAAAAGCTGTGAGTTTGTGAGGTTGCAGAAATCTGCAGCGCGCTAACGCAGTAGCACAGGAATTTGTAATTTGACACTAGCAGGCAAAAAGCTCCAGAGTTGTTTAAAGAACTGAAGCTAGTAAACGGGAGTGACCCAGAAGTTATTTCTCGTACTCCTAAGAAGCCACGGCATCTTTTGCTTTACTCTATTATCAGATGAAGCAGGCTAGAGGCTAACGTTGATCTAACAATGCTAACGATGAATTAGAAACAAATAGTCGGCTCTAAAAATATCTCGAGCTACTTTTTCAATTACCATCAACTCAATATTACAAAGAAATGTATGTGTGAAGGTAATGAGACAATTGTGGCGATTTACCTTCTTTAATGACTTATTGAGAACTATAACAGCAAGCTAACAACAAGACAGCATACAACCACACTTCCTGTAAAGCCAGAGACAAACTACTGTAATAAGTGTAGTAAGTGCTCCCTACCGTAAAACACCCAAAGGGGCTAACATCAGATATGCTGATGCATTTATCTACTTATCAACTTAGTGTTTATGACTCATCTTTGCTTGTCATCTAGAATCTGATCCATAACATCTGTAAAACTCACAGAACAGAGTGAGAGAGTAATATTTTTTATTTAAAAAATGGACTGCAGTAATCACGTTTGACCACAGGGTGCCGTTCTTACAAATTGCACCTTTAATTGGAGATTCTTGCTGTGATCATGTGACCTCTTTCACCTTTAATCTAAATATGGATGGATTCACTCAACCTGTAGACACATTTAACAAATTTTCTGACACAAACCTTTTTTTAAATATTGAACAACGTTTGATTTTATTTTAATACATTCGTGTTGTTTTATACTCCCTAATAACAATCACACAAGTTATTTGGGGGTTTAGAAATGTTGGATCAGGTGTTCAGGGTGGGACGGGTCAGCTGTGATCTGACTTGCACGCCTGGAGGTGTATAGGTCCTGCATACAGGGGAGTTTGCAGCCAATGACCTACTCAGCAGTGCGTACAACACGCTGCAGCCTCTTTATATCCCTGATGGTGGCTCCAGTGTACCACACGGTGATTGAAGAGGTGAGGATGGACTCTATTACTGTGGTGTAGAGCTGCCTCATCGACTGTGCTGGCAGGTAAAATTTCTTCTGCTGCCTCAGGAAGTTCATCCTCTGCTGGGCCTTTTTTATGATGGAGGTGATGGTGGGCTCCCACCTGAGGTCCTGGGTGATGGCGACATGAGTCCACCCTCGTGATGGGGGTGTCAGACAGGGTTATGAGGGGGGAGTGGAGCTGTGCGCTTCCTAAAGTCCTAAACAACCTCCGCTGTCTTCTGTGCATTTAGCACCAGGTTGTTGTGGCTGCACCAGGACACCAGCTGTTCGACTCCATTCTGTAGGCAGACTCCCCGTCAGAGATGAGTCTGATGGCGTTGGGGTCCTCTGCAAACTTGATAAGCTTGACAGACTCATGGTTGAAGGTGCAGCCATTGGTGTACAGGGAGAAGAGCAGAGGGGGGGAGAATGCAGCCCTGATGGGGAATCAATGTGGGTCTGATGGTCTGCAAGTCTGAGAGATTCTTCCCCAGCCTCACTAGCTGCTTCCTGTCCGTCAGGAAGTCAGTGATCCACCTGCAGATGGCGTCAGGCATCTGGGACAGTTTGTCTTCGAGGAGGTCTGGGAGGATTGTACTGAAGGCAGAGCTGAAGTCCACCAAGAGTATTTTGGCGTAGGCACCTGGGTATGAAGCATGAAGTGTAGAGCCATGTTGATGGCATCATCTACAGACCTGCTGGCTCTGTAGGCAAACTGCAGGGGGTCCAGAAGGGGGGCTGTGTGTGTGTTTGTGTTTAGTAATAACTTCAATTCAATTCAATTTTATTTATATAGCGCCAAATCACGACAAGAGTCGTCTCAAGGCACTTCACATAATAAACATTCCAATTCAGGTCAGTTCATTAAGCCAATCAGGAATAATGTTTCCTATATAAGGAACCCAGCAAATTGCATCAAGTCACTGACGAATGTCAGTGACTTTACAGCAATCCTCATACTAAGCAAGCATAAAGCGACAGTGGAGAGGAAAACTCCCTTTTAACAGGAAGAAACCTCCAGAGAATCCTGGCTCAGTATAAGCAGCCATCCTCCACGACTCACTGGGGATCGAGGACAGAGCAGACACACGCACGCACGCACGCACACACACACACACACACACACAAAGTAATGTGTCTACAGTTATATTGTGATGTCTTAGTAAATATTCTATTTGGCGAGAGATAAACTTTATTGTATTTATCCTAGTGGATCTATAATTTAACGGATAAACTAGTATTAGCACGTCCAATGTCAAGGAAAGCAAAACGTTATTATCAGGAGAGGAAGAATGTTTTAGTGGTTAGCAGCAGTGTGCTAGACGATGGCCCCCTCCATGAGGCCACCACAGCTCAGCAGAACGTCATTGTAGCTTCTTCTGGGGAGAAAAACACTTAGAGAGAAAATAAAGTTAACAGCTGAAATTGCAGAAAATAATACAGTTAAAGAGCAGACTAGAAGAAAGTAGTAGAGTGTGGAAAGTGGTCAGTGTATCCTCCAGCAGTCTAAGCCTATAGCAGCATAACTACAGAGATAACTCTGAATAATCTATCCTATTTAGATGGAGGCATGTTTGAGGCAGGGCAAGGGAGAGCCGTCTTTACCGACTGTACACTCCACCTCCCTCTACTCTCCCACTTGTCCAGATTTAGGCTAACATCAGATATTAACAATAACTGCATACACGTTCCAGATAATAAAGAATCTGGTTAAACAAAACATGTAATTTACAGTGATCGACTTCAGAAGGCTGACATATTTAACCCTTATTGTGACCAGTCCCATTCGGTTGTTTTATGTAAATTGAAATCAAATTTTCTTCCTTTAAACAGGCTTTAATGGTTGACCTGGGAACTGACCGCTTCATCCGACAGGTTGGTACATGGTTAACAAATTCATATAATTACTTTGCCAAGATTTGACTCATTATTTCTTTTAGGACTTAAGGAATCTTACTGGTATTTAGTTTTTCAGATTGTGTTTGTTAGTCAGAAGGAACTGACACCAGGCAGTGTGATAGGTCTAAGTAAAGCTGGAAGAACAAAAGGTCAGAACTAAAGTCTGAACTAAAGAAGTCCTATTTAGCGTTTTTACTTTAAAGGTCCGCCATTTCTCTGTGAGCCTGAGCCAAATGTCCCCCATCCTTGCTGTTTATGGTTAATGACGGCAGGGTTTGCCACTGTTTACAGATGGATGACGAAGCCTCGCTGTTGCCGCGGAAACTTCAAGCGGCTCTTGAGCAAGCGCTGGAGCAGAGGAACGAAATCATCAACCAGGACTCTGACAGCGAGTCGGATGAAGGTGAGCAAGTGACGGATCATCTCCAGCTAAGTAGACAGATGTGGTTTAATTACAGCGCCCGTGTGTGCGGTGCTCGGTTTGTGTGTCTGTGAAACTCTGGGAGATGAGATCATGTTGGTACCAGTGAGGTGTGCTTCCAGAGTCGACTGGTGTCAAGATGGGATTATGTCAGAGGGTGAAAGTGCTTGTAGATTAGTTGATCTTCATAAAATCACAAAATATGACAATTCTCATACTATTTTCTTTTAAATTTGATAATTAATTAAATAATACCCACTGCACAGGCGGATTAGACCATCTCTCCAAAACTGTTAAGAGAAAATTTGACCAATAAGAAATCATAAATCATCACAAGTAAATAGGAGCATGGATCGTAAACTCTGCAGGAATTCATTTGTGCAGCTAATGGAAACTTTACTGATAAAGAATAAAACAATGATCATAAGTTTCTTAATCTTTATTTGCAAAGTATTTTTTATTTTATAGTGTTGACTGAAAACATTTGACCCTTTGTTAATTGTTTTTCTGTGTAAAAGTTAAAAAGAAAATTTCAACTGATTGAGCCTGGAAGCCAAGTCTAAACAAAAAAAATGGATCCACCTAACGGCTGGTTCCAGTGCCCCTTTTAAGCCCCGCCTCCTCTATATAAATCGATGGGACATTTTTATTTTTAATAAGAAATAAAACACACAACCCAGTTGATTTCGTCCACATGTTGACTTTAAAGGTGTGGAACACTTGTTTAATCAATACATTTGCAGTAGACTCTAGAACAGTGGTACTCAATAAAATAAGGGCCACAAAGAAGGGGCTCGCGGGCCAGGTCCCCTTCTTTGTGGCCCCCGAAATGCGCGCACCCTCCTGGACCAGACCTCACGCTTCAAGGTCGTTTTGTTGAGTACCCCTGCTCTAGAAGGAGTGAATGGTTTTTAAATCATATTCTAGGAACTAGAGGAGAGTTTTAGACCACAATATTTCCTGATATTAGGACATCTCGCCTCTGATTGGCTCATAGCAATGCAACTCTACCACTCACACTGTTTGCTCTGCATCCGTTTCCTGGAGGCAAAACCAACAACAGCATTCCCCGTCGCAAGTCAAGATGGGCGAGTCAATTCAAATTCAAAAATACTTTATTAATCCCAGAGGGAAATCGATTGCTGATGTAGCTCAGAATAATAATAATAATCAAGTCATCAAAGAGTTATCGTATATTACAATGGCTGTTGGCAGGAAGGATCTCCAGTAGCGGTCAGTGTTGCAACGAAACTGAAGAAGCCTCTGACTGAAGACACTCTTCCGTTGTCGGACAGTCTTGTCAGAATCAGAATCAGAAAAGGTTTATTGCCATTGTCAGTGAACAAACAATTCACACACTAGGAACTTGCTTTGGTACTAATGTGCTACATATAACATGAATAATAAGATTAAAAATAGAATAAAATAGAATAAAACTTTCAGCTATAAAAAATGGCAGGTAATGGTAACATGGCCGATAACGTGACGCTGTGTCGAGTACAGAAGACCGGCATGGTTGTGTGTTCATAAGCTATTCACAAGTCTAACAGCAGATGGAAAGAAGAGATTGCTCAGGGTTGTTCATCATTTTCTTGATTCTCTGGAGAATCCTTCTTTGCATTATCTCCTCCAGTGGTTCCACAGTTGTCCTCAGAACAGAACCAGCCTTTTTTATTAGGCTGTTGAGCCTTTTCAGGTCCCTGCTTCTGATGCTGACCAGCACCTGATTTATCATTGCCCATTATGATCAATGGAAGAGATGGTTTGAATTTCCGCTTTCTCTGTTTCCGTTTTGCTCCCGCTCTGCACCCACGCTTCTTGCGTTTTAGCTCATTTGGGATTTGTTATTGTTTATTTTTTCAACCTTTCCAATGTTAATCAGCTGCTCCCGATTGTAAACCAGCTTGTTACCATGGTTACACATCATAACAAATGCTCAAAAAGTGAAAAAATGCAGTAAAAATCCTCTAAGATATAGTCAACAGAGCTACTCCAACATGCAGCCACCCAGAGCAGCGCAGTTCCGGAATGAGTCCGTGAATGTTAAGTGACAGTGTGACGTGGATCCGTCAGGACTTTCTAATCCTTGAGTTTTCCATCAGAAGCTAATGCAAGAGATAGGTGTAGGAGACTATTTTCATGTTCAGCACGTATGAAAAACTCAGAGTGACTGACTATAATCAGAAATAATCATCAAAATAGTTTTTTCAGTGTTCCACACCTTTAACTGAGTCAAATATTCTCTTTTATTAGTGTGTTTAGCTGCATTGAATTTATGTCTGACTTATCCACAGAAAAATGACTTGAAATGGCCCAAATCATTGTTTGGCACGACATCTCATCATGTTATTAATGTCCTACTGTATACATGTTTTTTATTCTTAGAGTATAACTCCTTGAACAGCCTGGTGTCAGAGGCCTTCATTCGCTTCTTCCTGGAAACTATCGGACATTACTCCTTGTTCATTACTCAGAGCGAACGTGGAGAGAGAGTTTTCCAAAGAGAGGCCTTCCGCAAGTCTGTGGCGTCGAAGAGCATCCGTCGTTTCCTGGGTGTCTTCATGGAGTCTCAGATGTTCGCCGGTTTCATTCAAGACCGGGAGCTGAGGAAAACACGGGCTAAAGGTAGACTACAGTTCCCTCTGTGTTGGTTCTTTTTCTAAAAAAAAAGACTCATTCTGGCATTTGGTGGACTTCCACCCCTGCAGCCACAGGAAGTGCTGTGCTCATACTGACCTCTAGTGGTGGAGAGGTTCCATTTACAAGCTTTGTCTCCTCATCCCTGACGCTTTCCTGGAACACCGAGATGTGCCCGGGCTTTTGGTTAAATCTCTGTTGTCCCATCGACAGGGCTGTTTGAGCAGAGGGTGGATCAGTATCTGGAGGAGCTGCCAGACACGGAGCAGAGCGGAGTTAACAAGTTCCTGAAGGGCCTCGGTGAGTCCTGCTGTAGCAGATGTTTCTGTACGAGGCGGGAATCAGATTTCAGTAGTCGCCAGTTTAACAGCTGAGCCGAATAAACAGACGTTTCACATATTTCTTCACCCACAGGACATTTGTGTTTTAACAGAGGAAAATGTGCTGCTTTCTTTTATTCTATTCAGCATTTTTACTTCTAAATATTTTACATGAAAGACATTTTGCTGATGTAAAATATTCCTCCAAAGTTTACATGCAGCCGTAAAGCTTCTGGTTGATCTTACTTGCGGTGCTTAAATCAAAATTCAGTAAAACTTGTGAGCAGAAAATGAAAACATTGTGGATATTTGGTCATTTTTGGTCCATTATGATGTGGAAACTCAAATCCGACAGCATGGATTCATCAAGTATTAACTTTTCCGAGAAGCAGAAGATTTTTTTTTCTTTTTTCCCTTTTTTTAAATAATGTTCACAAAAGGAAAGAAAAACATGACAACTCAAAAACAGATTTTTTTTGTCTTCAAACACATCAGGAGCCATTTTCCCTGAAAACCACACACGTTTACAACATTTACACTCTACACAAACACAAACTGGACAAAGCTTAAAGGAGATTTACGGTTTATATTATTTTGTCCTTCTTCCCCATAAATATTTCTGTTTTAGTCCAAAGTTTCCATTTTCTACCGTGGAGTTTTGGGAACAAACACGGGGACGTAAGCGACATGTAAATTGTATTTCTGTAATCTGTTTGCAGGAGGTTTACGCCGCTTCTTCAAGCCAGACAAATTTTCTTTAAACATTATAAAATGAAATTAGCTATAATTCCATTTCTGATCACATGCTTGGTGTGTTTGTTTCAGGAAATAAAATGAAGTTTCTCCACAAGAAGAACTGAGGAGGGAAGCTGAAGATCCACGAGTCCCTGCTTGAAAAGAATTCTCAGATTTTTTTATTTTCTTGATTTTTACAAAATAAAATCTGTAAATATGATTTCACTGCAAGCTGTGAGACTTATGGGCGTGTGTTTCAGAGACGATGAGGGTAGGACAGTACACAGCAAGCGAGTCGTAGAGTAACCACTGATTGTGTGTGTGTGTGTGTGTGTGTGTGTGTGTGTGTGTGTGTGTGAGAGAGGAGTGTTATCAGAGTGGACGAGTGATTGTAACCTGACGTGGACGTAGTTGTACAGTTATTAATGTTTTCATACTGCATCGATTTCTCTGTTTAAGGAGTTTATATAAAATCATCAAGATACTGAAGACAAATAATTTTAACTCTTCACAGCCATTAAATACATCCATTTAAGTGCTTTAAATCTCCAAGTGTTGTGTTTCTTATAATATTCAGGGTTTATTTTTCCATCAGGCTTCCTGTCTCTGAGGTAACAAATATTACATTTAGAACATTTTCAAAGGTTTTTCAGATGATCTAAAACCTGAGTTTTTAATAAGGGACACGCCAATGACAGCTTTCCTCAAAGGCTTGCATTAGGAGGAGCTGGTGGGGTCCCAAAAGGCTCAGCAGCGTAACACCAGCTACCACACGCTGCCGCTAACCTAATTACGTCTGTGCACATCACTCCGGCTGCTGTCACTGCCGTGCCGTTATTAGCTCCCATCACTGAGAGGCTCACTGTGGGTGCCAGGTGCCATGTTGCTGGTCCTCTGTCTGCGTCCTCCAGAGCTGCTCGGATACGTCCCGTTGTCCGTCTGGGAAATGGCTGCACAGCCACAGATGAGCTGTGGAACCGTCAGGAGGCCGTAGAAATGCCATCTTTAGTGTTTGCATACTTCAGTACAACAAATTCAGGGGGGATGCTTCTATGACCTGAAGGTTATATCTTTCTTTTTTTAATTGTGAGTCGAGACGTCAAGGCTGGCTAATGATATTGAACACAAATGTCTGTTTTTCTTTTGCAAATTGTTCATAAGTTCTATTCATTAGGCTTAAAGATCACTGAAGCTGAAAGCCTAAAAGGATAAATTCCTAACAGAATAACAGTTCTTAAAGATGTGTTTATGGACGAGAGCTGGAACATCTACAGGGGAAACTCAAAAATTAGAATCTGGTGCAAAAGTCGAGTTATTTTACTAAAGACTGCGAGACCATCTAAAGCTGTAAACCTCAACTGGCGGCCTGTGGGCCACATCTGGCCCCCCAACCCTTCGGGCCCCAACGCCCCCCGATTGGGGGACTTTAAATTTCAGCAACAGAATTCATGTCCCAAATCTCAATAATTGTTTAGGTCTCTAAATACAACTACAACTACAATCAAAACCGTTTAGATGGAAAACAACTCCATTTTAAATATTAATGTAATAAAATACAATAATTCCTTAACTTTATTTTAGAAAAGCATCTGGCATGGTGTCTGCTGGAAGAAACTCCTGCCCTTGAATACATTTAGTTGAGGACCCCGGATCTAAAGGCTCAGGAATCCTTTGCAAGTGTTTAAGATTCATTAGCTGATTAGAGTGTGACAATTCAATTCATGTTTATTTATAAAGCGCCAAATCACGACAAGAGTCGTCTCAAGGCACTTCACACAGTAAACACTCCAATACAGGTCAGTTCAGTGAGCTAATCAGTAAAAGTTTCCTATATAAGGAACCCAGGAGATTGCATCAAGTCACTCGCTGGTGTCAGTGATTATACAGCCATAATTTGATCCTAGAATATTGAACCTTTTCACATAATCGTCTGAGATTTAGAATTTGGGGTTTTCATAAGCTGTAAGCCGTAATCATCACTGTTTAAATCAAATAAAGGCTGAAATATCTGGCTTAGCATATAACGAGTCTATCTGGTTCACCTTTTAAACAAATCTTTTTGCACCATATTCTGATTTTTCAAGTTTCACTTGAGTTTAAACGAACAGTAAAAAAAAAAAAGTTCATTTATTTAATTTTTAAACTATCTTGGGATTTTCATGTTCTGAATGAAAAAAATAGTCTTTAATTTGTTCCACATAACAGAAATTTACATTTTTGCATCTAAGACGGATCAAAATTTGCATGTCAACATAAAACAACTCAACATTTGTTACAAAAATATCTATGAGCACAACTACAGATCATTACGGAACGTTATTGAAACTGCAGAGCTTGAACAGATATGTTAGCAATTTGCACAAGAAAACAATTAGAATGTGCATTCTAAAGCAACATTTGTATATGAAAAGACACTAAAATGATCACATTGCATTGTTAGAAACAGAACCTAAAACCAAACTGAGTAATATTGCATGTTTGAATAATTTCATGGATTTATTTTAGCTTTTTTCTTTATTTTTGATTTAGTCAGCTGTTATGATTGTAAAGTCTGATTGGTGCCGGATGATGGAGAATCTACAACAGAACGAAAAACAATAAAACATTTTGTTGTTTTGCTGCTCAACCAGAACTAATAAGAAGCTTTCAACCACAATGTGTGAGCCTGAAATCCTAATCTGACACCAGTGGACGAGTTCTTTTAAATGTGCAGCAGCTTCCAACAAACTGATGCAACACACAGGAATAAATACTGGAAGTAGAATGTAGTTTTTCCATTCTATTTCTAGCAGGTAAATGCATTAAAACTTTACACCTTGGAGGTGATTCTCCTGAGTGTTAGCCTTTTTAGATGCTCCTTTAATATGCATGAGGAAACAAAGCGTTTCTTGAGGAATGACGTAAAGGTATTTCCCCCAGTGGGATTGAGTTCTTAGTTTTTAATAAAAGTATCTCTTATTATTAAATCCAGAAGCCTTCTGGGACCCAAGCCTTTGTTTGATTTACATTTCTGAAGCACCTCTAAACAAAAATGAACCTTGTTTTTAAAGAAGTGGTTTAAAATTATGCCTACTAAAAATACCCGAACAATCATAAATTATAATAGAATACATTTTTATAGTGCAGAAATCTGAGGATGCAGAAGGTAAGAATTCAACGTATTTACTTTAAAAAAATGGTAGAAATTGTAATTTATATTCATAATATTAATAGAAATATAGATGGATGCAATGCTGGAAAAGAAAATATTTCATTATTTTAATACTGTAGTTTCATTGAAGTCACATTTCATTAATTTGTTAAAAAAGTTAATAAAAAAACCAAACAACGCATTTAAAGTTTCCACATAAAGTCTCCATGCCAGTCGGTGCCAGGTAGCCGACTTCAGCTTTGAGAAACGTCAGAAGTGTTGCACGAGAAAATCTCACGATTAACTGCGAGACTTGGAATCTCCAAAATTTTGTCCGGAGCACAGAGCGACATCCGAAAGGAGGACCGACGCGGAGATGCTCGGGTCAAGGTAAATAACAGAAAAGCTGCAGCTGCGTGCAGAAATAAGGCGCCATCCGGGCGGACGTTATCTCCTCTGCAGGCGGACTTGTCTCCTTTGGACCGAAAACAAACACTCCTGTCAGACAGACGTGCGTTCACTCAAGTGTTTGCCTGACAGGACGTTTGCAGCCGCTGTGCACGTTGCTAGTGCGCAGAATTTTGCACATTGATACAGTTTCTGGTTGATCTAATTGCATGAAACTAAATGTGTGCGCGCTGACTTTTATTTAGCGCCGCGGATGGCTCCGGCGGTGGTGATGCCATGTTAGGGGCGTAATCTCCTGCGCACTTTCTAAAAAAGCATCTCACGCTCGGTGATGCGCTGGAGGTGAGGCTGCTGATGCAGAGGGATGCGGGGGCAGGCAGACTCTGCCATCTGCCTGTCACGCTTGTTGTTATTAATCAAAGAGGCGCTGTCAGACTGGCACATCCATGAAGAGACGGAGCAGGTACCCAAACGTGTGACACGCCAGAAGGAAAACAAGAAATCCCAAACTCCCAGAGCTTTGTAGACTGAATAAAATCACACAGGACTGCTGTGGTTTATTCATACTTAAAGCTGGTTTTATCCCAAGAGGGTAAGCAACCAGATTCTCTATTTGCTTCTACATTTACATCAAACTGTAGATGTGTAGAAATAATCGGATGGATGCAGTTCTAAGAGGAATCACCAGGAGGTTGTTTGGTTTGTTTATTTCTTAGTCAAAGCTCTTTTTATAGAAGTGTTGCTGGGAAAATATTTTTTAAATCAAATTTGAAAAGAAATCCCACTTTTTAAAAGTACTTTTCATACAGAAGAGTGTAACACAAAGTGCTTTACAGCAAATAGAAATAAAACATGAATAACGGCAAGGCATTAAAAGCTCAAACAGAGAGAGAATGGGCCAGACTGGCCATGTTTCTAACATTTCACACATGTTAACCCTTCTGGAGCTTCTACACACATATCCTTATTTAAGAAAGCCAAGATCAAAGAAATGTAAAACCTGAGGCGTGTGGCGCATTTGGATTACCATGGTAACCGCCTTTGCCTTCTACCCTTTGATGAGAGGAACTCAGGTTAAAAAGTAAGCCCCAGGAAGCTGTATAAAAACTTTAAGCATTAAGAAGCAGAGGGCCCTGATGGTCACACTTGTAGATTTTTCTCTTTCTACTTTGTTTTATGCAGCCTATGCATGTAAAAAGTACCATGCCTCTGTGTACTCTGGGGTGATTTGACAAACAGTGAGGTATTGTTTTTATTGCCTTCTCACCGTTTTTACAGTTTTTTTAAGAGTCACAGAACGTTGCGCGCTAGGATGATGTCGACGCCAAAACAACCAAAACAAAGCGGAGACTCACCTCTTACATCAGGAAGAATCCGCACATTTCGAGCGTTATCCGTTTTTTCATAATCCGTTGTTGAACTGGGATCGGCAGAAGCTTTTCCGGTTCGCGCCTTGCTATTTTTACAGCAGCGGCCCAAAACGATCTCCTAACACATGGATTTTCTGCTTCCTGATCACATGATGTGCAGTGGCGGCTCCAGAAATTGTTTTCTGCAGGTGCTCTGAAGGAGCTAGTCTTTTTAATTAGGGTGCTATGAAGGAAGCGGTCATGCGTACCTATTGCTCTCTAAAACACCTTCAACACTAGCAGATACACATGCGTGCACAAAACCTCAACAACACCTGAAACAATCATTAACTCATTCACTGCCAGCCGTTTCCTGATCGCTAACGGCCTTCGCTGTCAGCGTTTCTCACCGTTTTTACTGTTCACAGAATGTTGCGCGCTAGCATGATGTCGATGCCAAAACAACCAAAACAAAGAGGAGACTCGCCTCTTACATCAGGAAGAAGCCACTTGTTTCGAGCGTTATCCGTTCTTTCATAATCCGTTGTCGAATTGTGATCGGCAGACACTTTTCCAGTTCGCGCCTCACTTTTTTTTTACAGGAACGGCCCAAAACGATCTCCAAACACATGGATGTGTTGCTTCCTGATCATGTGATCTGTGACGTATGCGGATGAAGATCGGGTTCAGGGCTGAGATGTTTGTTCTCTCAGCGCGGGGGCTCGTTCCGATGCTCAAACAGTAAAAAAATGCAAATGACGACTTTAGCCGTCATTGGCGGTGAACGAGTTAATATACATCATAAACATATGAACAATCGCTGACTTTTCCATGAAATCATAAACACATACAGCCACACAGAAAACCATCTATAGTGTTGCAAGGTTAGCTAACGTTAGTGTTAGCATTTCCAGCGGCTAAACCCTCGACTGCTGCAGCGGTTGAGGTTTGACTCTCTTCATCCAGATCCGTAGGTTTTTGTGGGTCTGAGATCACTTCCAACGATTCATTCGTTTCTGACTGAACCCGTGGAAATTTGGGCAACAAAAACCGATCCATTTTACCGCTAGCTCTACCTTTCACTCGTTCATAGGTGGAAAATGAGGTCAAAGGTTAACATCAATTTCCTTTTCTGGTTAAAGTTTTTACTATCTATATGATAATTTACTGATTATTTTTGTTTTGTATGTTAAATATTATCACATCCACACGCTAAATTAAAATTAAATTGTAAAAAAAAAAAATCCTTTTTTTTTCTTTTTTTTTTCCACAGTGTCCTGTCTGGCTGTGAAGCAAGCAGAATTAATGTCTGAATGCTGGTAACAAGCCTTACAGATTTACTCTCAGGTGGAGCATCAAAGCGTCTGCTTTTAATGTCACGCCTGATACTTAAAACTTTATTGTTATTGTTTTTGAATGCTTTGTAATTCCGACCAGACACGGAGACAGAGGTGAAAGAGAAAGGAAAAGAAAAGGTGGGGAGAGAGAGGGGGGGGGGGGGTCTTCGTCTTCGTCTTCCTCCGCTTATCCGGGTCCGGGTCGCGGGGGCAGCATCCCAATTAGGGAGCTCCAGGCCGTCCTCTCCCCGGCCTTGTCCACCAGCTCCTCCGGCAGGACCCCAAGGCGTTCCCGGACCAGATTGGAGATGTAACCTCTCCAACGTGTCCTGGGTCGACCCGGGGGCCTTCTGCCGGCAGGACATGCCCAAAACACCTCCCCGGGGAGGCGTCCAGGAGGCATCCTGACCAGATGCCCAAACCACCTCAACTGGCTCCTTTCGATCCGGAGGAGCAGCGGTTCTACTCCGAGTCCCTCCCGAATGTCCGAGCTCCTCACCCTATCTCTAAGGCTGAGCCCGGCCACCCTACGGAGGAAACTCATTTTGGCCGCTTGTATCCGCGATCTCGTTCTTTCGGTCATTACCCAAAGCTCATGACCATAGGTGAGGATTGGGACGTAGATCAACCGGTAAATCGAGAGCCTGGCTTTCTGGCTCAGCTCCCTCTTCCCCACGACAGATCGGCTCAGCGTCCGCATCACTGCAGACGCCGAACCAATCCGCCTGTCGATCTCCCGATCCCTCCTACCCTCACTCGTGAACAAGACCCCGAGATACTTAAACTCCTCCACTTGAGGTAGGACCTCTCCCCCGGGGAGGGGGGTGTTCCACAAAAATAATCAGTAATGAACAAGAGTCTGCTTCTAGACCTGCAGAAAAAGACAACAAAAAAAGCAAAAGGACAAAAAAAAAGGGACACAACAACAATACAACAAGATCTAGCTATCACTGCGTCAACTTGATGAAAAAATATATAATCAACATTGCTTAACTGAAGAATCACGGTGGGCACTAATATTTAATCTAATATTTACTTGGGGGTGCAATGACTAATCCAAGGGTAGCTATAGCCCCCCCCCCCCTCCCCCCCCGGGCGCCGCCACTGATGACGTGTGATGTACGCGGATGAAGATCGGTTTTAGAGCTGAGATGTTTGTTCTCACGGTGCGGGGGCTCATTCCGATGCCCACACAGTAAAAAAAATGCATATGACGACTTGAGTCGTCTTTGGCAGTGAACGAGTTAATGTGAAAATGCCTGAGCATTAAAAACTGTTTTCCGTCATTAATTGTTTCATTTTTTTTACAATAAAAATCGTGTAACTAAAATATTACATAGAAAGTGACTTTACCACCAGGATGAAGAAATCCATTATTGGTGCCAGTTAATCTCCACTTTTTAAAAATGACTATTTCAGATTACAATGATTTCCTTCGATCTTGTGATCATTCATTAACCAGATGTGTTGCAGTTTTTACATTATTTAAGAACATTTTAGTCTTGGTAAATAACATCTTGATGTTCCTACTTCATCCGTTTATTTCTGTTGTAAACAGAAATGAAATTAGACAGCACGCTAACGTAAGAGTGGTTGAAGATAATCCTGCCGTCTCTGCGACCTCGCCTTGGTGTCAATAGATGTGACGAAGATGGAGCTTACAGGGGCGAGATCGCAGCTTGGGTTCCTATCGTCGTCCCGTCTCTCCAGGTGGTGTGCGTATCTGCTGCCAGGCGGGGGGTTTTCAGTGTGAACCATAAACGCTGCGAAGGTGCAGCTGAAAGAACGTGCACAGGTTGAAAACGCTAACAGAGCAGAGCAGGGTGCAGCACTACTCACTAATTGTGTTTCAAATTGGGTCTTTGAGCGCACAATGGGGACTGCTCTGAGCTCCCTGCTGAAGCACCCAAGGATGAGAAAGTTGTCAGATTTATAGGTCAGGCTGTTGAGGTTGTTGTTAGGCAGACTTTGTTAGTCTAAATTTGACGTTGGGTGTTTTTGTTGGTTTCGTTTTATTTGGTGATTCCTTGTTTAGCCACCCTGAGGTTTTATAAATATCTCCACTCCGAGTTTACGTTTTGAACATTTATTTTTTGTTTACTTTGCAGGCCGTTTATAAAATCTAAATAGAATTCACAATATCAGAGGGAATTAAAGGAGCGTACCCTTGTCCCATCTGGAGTTGATCCACGCCTGACCCGGTTTTGATGTTCTGCGTTAGCGTGGCTCCTCGGGGACCCGTCCTGCTCCTCATCCTGACAAGAGAAGAAGGACACAGCTCACCTATTCTCATCCAGCAACACATTTCCTGTCACAGTCAGAGACCAACACCACCTAATCCTTCCACTTAAAGACGCACGTGTTACAGATACACACTTCTTCCTCGTTGTAGGTCACTTGGTCTTTCCTTTTCCTTCATTTTGGGAAGTGCTTCCGGGGATATTTTGTCCTACAAAGAAATAATAATGTTATCTCCCTAATTCCCAATTACTATGCACAGACTTGTTTAAGGAAAAGGGATGATCCTTTCTCTTTGGTGGCAGCACCAGCCAGCAGAGAAGAGATTTTGAATGTGACAGTCCTCTCCTCCTCCTCCTCCTCCGCAGCGAGGAGTCCAACACTTGGATGAACTGTGGGAGGAGAGAGCACAGTCGGGCTGTCATGTAAGCCGTCTCCTCGGGGGCCGGTGCTCAGTTCGCGCTGCTTCCTGCCTCAGGTAGAAAGAAGCCTCAGAGTTTCTGCAGCTGAAGCATCAGGCGGACCTCCTCTCCTCTCCTCTCCCTGCAGCTCAGCAGGCAAACACATCCTCCCTCAAAGCACCAGCATGGAGAAGGTAAGGTGTCTCTTCAGCGTTGTTTCGTTTCTTTCAACTTTCTCTCTTTTCTGATGCAGCAGAAGCCAGTTTCACTTTGTGCAGCACTCTTCTGAATTGGCCCTGGGAGCATTTTTGTGAGAACTCTGTGTTTTACTGTGCTTGCTTGGCTTTCCTCCCACTTTACAAGCTGTGTTTGATGTCAGAGATGCCCCTGCTGTTGCCTTTCTGCAAATAATTTTGGTGGATTTGGTCCAGAATGGTATAAATAACTCTTAAAGTGACATGAATAGTCAACCGCACATTGCAATCATAACTATTAAGGGTGCTTTTCATTGACTTTTTTCCTCTGACTCGTTTTAAAGCGACACGAGAGACCTTTGTGTTTTTTTTTATGATGAGATTTAAAAATCTATACTTTATGTGTCCAAATGATAAAATTATAATCAGTGCTCTTGCAAAGGTTTAGTTTCATCCTCAGGAGCTCATTAATATTCCAAAGGGAGTCTCCCAGCCAAATCTACATAACACCTCCTTTAAGTGAGATTTAGCCTGAAGATGCAGTGAAACATAATTTTCTGACATGGAGCTCCTAACCGTCTCATCACGTTTTTTCAGATCTGCTCAGAGTGTACAGAGCTGACACTTGCTCAGAGTCTCTGCACGCTGTGCAACAAGTGGTTGTGCTACCAGTGCACTGATGTGCACCAACACCAGAGGGCTCCTGCTTCCTCCCAGTACGCCGACTCATACCAGCAGCCGAGGCCCAGTGCTGCCCAGTGTCCTGAGCTGCACCAGAGAGGCTCCAGCTCCATGCCCGCTACTGGACAAGGCGAGATATTTGCGTATAAATCAAAAAACTTAGCACTCTGGTTGTTTATGTTTAGTAGTGTTTTATTGGGAACCATCTGCGATGAATAATGCATGCTGTTTGATAATTGTTTCTGGAGATCCGTTCTCGTTCTCATACCTATCTTTAACTCATGGCCCAGATTCAGAAGAGCTTGAATGATTTCATTTCTGCTAATTTTAGTGCCTTGCCATTTAAAGCCCTTCAATTATTGCCCGGTGCACCTCTTTATCGTGTCCTTCACTTGCAGGTCTGCCTCGCCTGCCCGAGAAATCGAATCATAACAAGCTCAAGTCGTAGACATCTTGATCTGAATAGAGGAGTGCTGCTGTTTGGCTTGTGAGAGAAAGCTGTTTGAGTGTGCTGACAAGACAGGATGTGGTCAGTCAGATCAGGCTGAGGTACCCGAGGTGATGCTCAGCTCTCCGCCACAGAAATCTGTCGTGATCTCCAGGCAAAAAAAAAAAAGTGTGTGTGTGTGTGTGTGTGTCCAGCCAAAGGCAGCAGAGCTGCATCTTTCTGCCTTTGAGTTAATGTTGGACTGACGCTCTGCAGGCCAGATGATTCTTCTCTGACCTATTTACAAGTGTGTGAGATATTTACGTTGTGTTTCTGTTTGTCTTTGAAGTCAGCTGATAACACTTCAAAGCTTCTGAACAAACACTGTTTACGCTTCGCCTCTGAACACAAGTACCATCGAAACCTCAGCTTCTGTTGACTTCATTCTATTTCCCACAAGTGTATTATTGCTTCTGTGTCAAAGTGCAGATGGGCTGAGCTGTAATTTATCATCGTTTCTCATCCAGCCGAAAGCTTCACGTTTATCTATGATCCACCTGGTGTTTCGTCGGTTTTAGCTGTCCAGCTGTTGGTGGTTTGCCTATTAAAGCTGCACAGGAGATCGGGATCACAAGTCAAAGTGCAATGATGATTGCAATCAAATATTTTGTGATCAGATGTGTGGGTAATACTCAGATGATTTAAATGAGAATGACCAAAATGGTAAACCGCACTTTCTTAAACAGACAAAAGTTCAGACAATAAGTAGAAAGTTGTGACTGCAATCCCAGGAATTATGTGGGAATGTTTTAGTCCGTAGAAGTCATAGTCTTACCCCGTAGTGTGGCCTTTGCTAAGCTTGTTCCCTGTCTCGTAGAGCCCCGTGTCATTTGTATTGAGCGCAGCTTAGCATCAGCAAATAGCCCATTACTTAGTTCTTTTTCCGGCTCTCGGAGGGTGCAGACATTTTTTTTCCTCGTCTCCTCCGTATCTTATCCTCAAGGCTTTTGTCTGTCTCTGTGTGCACAGCTGCTTCTGCATTTTTACTGGAAACTGAAATCACTAAAATGGATCTCGTCAGTTGGTCTCTCAACACGATTGATAAAATATTTTTCAACGATGAGAACGGGAGAAGGGGCTCCTGGATGCCCCTCCGGGACAGACCCAGTTGGACACATCATGGACTCCTGGAAACAGTGGAACTTGATTTGTTCATCTCAGCTGTCTGTGGAGGACTCTGAAGATGTGTGGATATTCGTGGTCGTGTTGGTGACAGACAGGTTTCCTGCTGATCGGCATTGGAGGCTACCTGGCTTACCGGAAAATTAACGAGCTGTCGAGGAACATTGACCTGATCCCTGAGCTCAGAGATGGATTGCACCGCGCTGTAAATTCACAGACTCACATAATTGTCGAGATGAATCGTAAGCTTGGGACTTTGGCCGAGATTCATTCATTGGCACAAAAGATGGATGCCATCAAGGATAGAGTGGACGAATCAGCACAGATTGGGATATTTTAATGTACATTATTGGGATTTTGAGAGGTTGAGGACCAACAAACTGTAAGACAGAGAGGAAATTATCTGTCTGGCCCCAAAACAATTTCTAATCGGAATCTGGCGCCCTTGAGCCTGCAAGGCTCCAACGAAAACTCCCCCCTCAGAAGATATGTGGAATGTGCCGTTGCTATGGCAACTCAACTCTGCCTCCTTTCCCAGCCTGGGCGGGACCGCGGGAAGGCCGCCGAATTGTTCCAGGGTCACTGCAACCCTCCAACCCTCAATGGTCCTCCCCTATCCACACTGAGATGACATGCGCTGCTTATCGTGGCTGCAGGAACTGAAGTGGGGATAGTCCCAACCCACCACCCCACCTAGTGGACACTTATGTTGTGTTGTCTGAAGTCTGTTGCATACATGTTTGAGGTGTTTTTTTTGCAGAGCAAAGCTGCCCTCCCAGTGGAGGGTAGCTCTGAAGTGCCTTTTTATTTCCCTCCACCTGAACCAATCCTCATGTAACCCTCTTTTTTCTATTAAGGTAGCGCGACTCAGGGTTGCGAATGACCACAGTCACCAATTCTTGTCATGTGTCTTGCCCATGCATGTCTGATCTCTGAATTGTGTGTACTGAAACTCTAATTTCCCTCTGGGATTAATGAAGTATCTTTGATTTGATTTGATAGATTTTTTTAACACAGCTCAGTAATAAAATTGTTGTTTACCTTAAAACTGAAATGCTTCAGCTAGTATCAACTGGCCCGATGCCACCTCTTTCTGCATGCTGCAGCCAGGTCCTTCTCATGTTGCCTGGCTAGAACGAACAAGAGCCATTGCTTCCTGCAGCTATCATGAAAGTAGGAAGAGGGTTTTAAAGGTGCATTAAATTTTTTCCGCTTCTAGGTGGTGCCCTCTGACAAAAAACTCCAGGTTTCTTCAAACCTGACTTCAAACGGTGTTTTTCTTCTTGGGACTCTGGCAGTTTGTCCTAAAGCTGAAGTGGTAGCAGCCGACTGTTTCACCTTCTTTGATATTATTGAGAGGAGAGCCTCTCACACCAGTGGTGTTCTGTTGCTAAATATGCAAGTGAGTAATGAGTGGAGGACCCGGGAAAGTGTGGGAGTTTGGCGAGACCAACCATCAGATGTTCCAATAGTTGCTTTCAGTCAAAAATGTGTTATTTCTGTAGGTTTTGAGACAAAAGCAAGAAACCCACTTTACTGAATAAAAAAAAAATCCTCCACAAGATATTTATAGCTTTACTATGTTAGAACATCATCATCATCATCTTTTATTCATATAGCACCTTAAAGGCATGAAGCATGCCACCAAAGTTCTGCACAGTAACAAATCGAAACAGATAAAATCAACAAAGTGTAGCGTACCAAAGGCCAACAATATGGCTTTTTGTCCACTGTAAGGTCAGAGGTCATCACACAGAAGTGTCCAGGCTGTTTCATCTGCCTGGAGTATTGTGTGCCACATCTTAACTGTCTGCCTCCAAACCAGACAACACACTGCTCTACGACCTTGTTACCAAGAAGGGAGGCCATAATAATCTTAGCTGGAAACCCAAGGTCCCATGCAGAAGACGATACTTTTACTCTCTAAATAAAGCTCATCCTTCCTGGCTCACAAATAACTTTGTAATTATAAGCGTCATATAATCATATTTTGTATATGTGTGTGTGAATGGGTTGACTGATTGTGTTATAAAGCACCTTGGGGGGTTCCAGGACTCTAGAAGGTGCTATATCAAATACAGGCCATTTACTATTATGGATTATAATAAATATTATTCCTGTAATGATTTATTTCAGATTTTAAATTACACCAGATCAGTAATTGTTTAATTAATAATTTAATCTATCAGTCTGAACACAATAATATCATAATACTATTATTAATGTTTAACATTTTTGCTTCACATAACTGTTATTGTAGCGGAATATAATTGGTATATTCTTACACTTTGGTCCAGAGATATCACTGATCCAAACCTGGGCTGGATCATTAATCTTTGGACCGGGCCGTTAGAATCAAAAGAGGTTGTTTTTACCACAGGGAGTTTTATTCAAGCACCTTGTATTGAATTAGAGACAAGAAGAGAGAGAGAGATGGGACGTTTAAGAATATTTATTTTATAATTATTTGAAACAATCTCCAGGACTAACTCTCTAATGATGGATGCAGATGAATGTAATGCTGAAGTGTTGGTGTGTGTGTCAGTTCAGAATCTCCATCTGGTGGAAGCGAGTCTGAGTGCGAGGTGTTGTTTGCCCTAACTGGCCGACGACAGCCACTAAGAGGGAGACATGAGACGCAATCTATGCCGGACTACGTACCGTGCGGAGACTTCCGTGTTAGATCCGGGTGCCAGGTCCCAGGACCCTCCTTGTGCTGGAACTGGTGAAACAGCGTTGACAGCACGACAAACCAGTCTGAGGATCGCCTCCCGGTACAACGGCAGGTTTCAGCGTCACGTAGAGACCCCCCTTATTGGGTCATAGATTTCAGCTTTTATTCTGAAGGAACCGTCGTCTTGTTGATAAAACGACAGAGTTTTCCAGCTTGACAGTTCTCAGCTTAAAAGTAGAAAATACAGCTGGCCAGTCTGTACTTCACTTAGTGATGATGGACATCAGATGGATTTTAGAGCTGGTTGAACTCACGTTGGAACTACGTTGAAACTCGTGATGGAACTGAATTAAAATGGCGTTGTTCTGTTTTATTAAGCTTAGATGTTTTGGATTCTTAGCGAATCGGAGTGGACAGATTAACTAAACACCGCAGAACTCTGCCACGCAACAGAGAGGAAGTTCTGATTGGATGAGTGATCAATGTGTCATGTGTTTACCTTATGTGGATCAGGATGTCTAGCTCAGTTAGCCCAAGTCCTGTTATTCTTTAAACACATAAATCATAACATTGTGATTTCACAGATCAGTCACCTGATTATTATTGACCAACAGTTGTTTTGATTAGCTTTATTAGAAATAAAGTTCTTTGATTAACTAATGAAAAGCATTCTTCGTCCTTCTTCTGTCTTCTTTGCTGGAATGTAAACACCAGAGCAGGCGCACGACCTTGGCAACTTATGCACACTGTCACTGTGTCAAAGGGCAGCTGTTAAGGGCAGAAATGGCATATTCATAACGCTACATTATTAATGACTCCAACCTGAACTTCTCTGGACATATTAAGGCTATAACTAAATCAGCGTTTTATCACCTTCATCAGATATCAAGAGTCAGAGGTCTCATGTCCAGACCAGAATTAGAGAAACTTATTTGTGCTTTTATTTCTAGTCGGCTGGACTACTGCAATGGTCTCCTAACTGGTCTTCCCAAAAAAGCTGTGAAGCATCTGCAGCTTGTTCAGAATGCTGCTGCTGGAGTCTCAACAAGAACCAAGGGAACAGAGCACATCACTCCTGTTCTTAGATCCCTACACTGGTTACCGGTAAACTACAGAATACATTTCAAAGAGCTCCTAGTAGTTTATAAATCACTCAATGGCATGGGACCAAAATACATGTCCAATCTCATTCCTGTATAAACACCCAATAGGGCTCTGAGATCCCCCTGTAACAATCAGCTGGTAGAACCTCGGGTCAGAACAAAACATGGTGGAGATGCATTTAGCTCCTATGCTGCTCACATGTGGAGTCAGCTTCCCCATGACCTCAGATCTGCCCCAACCCTAGTGTTGTTTAAAATAAAACTAAAAACCCTAATGTACTCATCATGCACTTATCATGCGTCATCTCCACTGTAACCTGCGCTGTAACTTTGTCTTCTCCTTTAGCTCTAAACTGTAATTCTATCTGTGTGTATTTTAATTTGTGTTTTTATGTTGTTTTCATATCATGTCCTGATAATTGTAAAGCACATAGAATTGCCTCTGTGTGTTTGAAATGTGCTCTATAAATAAAGCTGCCTTGCCTTATGCAAATTTCACTTCACACAAAGAGTTAACCTCTAAGTATCTGAGGGAAGGAGTGATTTTCTGAGGTATTTGGTAACACCCTTTAAAACTTGTCAACAGTAGTTAATAAAAATAGAGATGACTTCCTGAACTGGTAGTTCTTCGCCAGCTTACTTGGTTAAGCCGACCGGGTGAGCAAGCACTTGGGACCATCCTCTCTTTTGACCTCAAGGTCACCGTCGCTCTGCAACGCTTGCGAGTGGTTTCAGACGCTACAACACTTCAGACGTGGAACGTCTAACTAGCAGACCCCGGTAATATCTCATGGCCGGTGACTCAAAGGGAGCTGCGATTCTGAGACTTCAGGAGCCGTTGTGTCTGGTGAACTCACCAACCTGGCTGCCTCTTCTCCGGACCACCGAGAGCGACTGTCACACAAGGGTATTGTAGACTCTGTACAATAGTGTAGGATGGTTTTATGAATAATCTCTAACTTAGTAAACCATACAGCCAAACTGATTTTACAACTCAGACATCACAAGATCTCTCAGATACTTAATAAGGTTTTGCTACAAACATTTAGCTCACATTCCATCATTTCATTCATCATCCGTTATCTTGTACAACTATCATTACATTTATAATTTGTCATGTATAATCAGAATAGAACAGAATTAAATTAATTTTCATAAACTACATGCTTAACTGTCTGAATTAAGAAGAAGAAGAAGAAGAAAGAAGATAGTGCCTCTCAAGATAAAAATCATGAGGCGCTTCACAAACACAAAAAAATGTTAAAATATAAAAAAGCATTTAGAAAATAGTTAAAACTATATTTAAAATGAGCAAAAATAAGCAATTGCGATTTAAAAAAATGTTAAGAAAGAGAGAGGGAATAGGAAAGAGGGAAATCAGTGGATCCTGAGGAAGGTGGAATAGGTGGGGAGAGCAGAACAAAGAGAGAGTGGTGAAGAAGGTCATACAAAAGCCAGCTTGAACAAGTGAGTCTTCAGCTGCTTTTTGAAGGAGACCACTGAGTCCACTGATCTCAGGCTCAGAGGGAGAGAGTTCCAGAGTCTGGGAGCCACAGCAGCAAATGATCTGTCACCTTTGGTCTTTAGCCTGGTGCTGCACAACCAGTAGGCTTTGATCACTGGACCTCAGGGACCTGCTGGGGGTGTAGGGACTAAGAAGATCACCAATGTAAGATGGTGCTTGTCCATGTAAGGCCCTATAGACCAGAACCAGGATCTTGAAATGAACCCTGAAGTTGACTGGCAGCCAGTGAAGCTGGAGGAGAAGCGGGGTGATGTGGGTGTGTTTGGAGGACTTGGTCAGAAGCCGAGCACAGGCATTCTGAACCACCTGTAGACGGTTCAGGGAGACTCTGCTCAGACACGTGAAAAGAGAGTTACAGTAGTCTAAGCATGAGGAGATGAAGGTGGGGAGAACTGTCTCAAGTTCAGAGCGGGACAGAATGGGACTCAGCTTAGCAATGTTCCTGAGATGGAAGAAGGATGAGTGAACAAGAGAACTGACATGAGAATCCAGGGTGAGAGCTGAGTCAAAGGTCACGCCAAGATTCCTGACGGAAGGTTTGGTGTGAGAAGCAAGCTGACCAAGAGTCTCTGACTTTGGGAACCAGCTTGTGGTTGAAGTGCGTGTTTCCTGATTTGTCCAGAGAACCTAAGGTAATATTAAATCAAATATTCAAAGACAATCAGATTGATAGTTCATATTTATATGGAATTTCACATCTTATGATCATTTAACTCAGAAAAGCTCTTCGCTGCCAAAGATTTTACTGTTCTTTTAAGAATCACAGAACGTTGCGCTCTATGATGATGTCAACGCTCAAACTACCAAAACTAACAAAACAAAGCAGAGACTCACCTCTTACATCAGGAAGAATCTGCGCGGTTCGAGCTTTATCCTTTCTTTTATTATCTGTTGTCGAATTGTGATCGGCAGAAGCTTTTCCGGTTCATGCCTCGCTTTATTTTTATAGCAGCAGCCCAACACGATCTCCTAACACATGGATTTTCTGCTTCCTGGTCACGTGACGTGTGACGTACGTGGATGAAGATCAGCTTTAGAGCTGGGATGTTTGTTCTGACGGTGCGGGGGCTCGTTCCGACGCCCACACAGTAAAAAAATGCAGTGAAATTGGCAGTAAACGGTTGGATTTAAAATGACGACGTTTGTCGTCAATGGCACTGAATGACTTAATAATATGTACCAACAATCCATCACGCTACAAAAGACAATTAAAACCAACAAGTAAAGTTAGGATAAAATCATATAAAGATCAACAACATCTAACATGGTGTTAAAAGGCATGAAAAAAATGTTTTAAGCTAATTTGTCTTCCAATTTTGTTACAGCAGCTTTAAAGTTGCTGTTGAGCGAGTACTTTTTTACTAAATGTAACTTGTTCAGAAAGTGCATAAGAAGGTGACCATTTGTCCCTTATGCACTTCTCCTAAAAGCTTTTCACATAATGTGTGTTTGTTTATGAAACCCCCATCGGCTGCTACTAACGCTCTCATCTCCTCAACCTCTCTGTCTGCATGTATTTCAGGCCCGGGGTCGTATCCTTGCACCCTCCTCATGTGCCACTTGCACAGACAGGAGCCCTTGGAACTTTTTTGTGAGTCATGTGACCTTCTGTGCTGCAGCAGCTGTCACCTGTCCTCCCACAAAAACCACAGGTCAGTCCTCACCTCCGTGCTGCACAAGGACACTGCAGAGGGAAAAGGCTAACCGCAGGTTAAACACCTCCTCTGAGATGAGACGCTCTCTAACTGCCCTGTCACTTTTATCTTCTGCATCTGCATACACTACCCTTGGCCGGCCTGGCTCTCATTAGGCATTCATACCTGTTTGTTTTCTGTGATGTTACAGTACAGTTGCGATCCCGAAGGTCGCCTGCATAATGCCTCGTCCTCAGGGGAGACACTTTTAAATCTGGTGTTTTATTATTAATATTTTTTTCATGTTCGAGGCACAAGTTGGTGAACTTGATGAGTGTGTGATTGCTCGTGTGTTTAGGGTGGTGCCGATTGGAAAGGCTCTGCAGGATCAGCAGTGGCTGTTTGAGAGCCTGATGATGCAAGTAGAAGAGAGAAGGTCTTCAGTGGAAAATAGCGCTAAACAAATAGAGGACAGGTTGGTTTCAGCTCCGCAGACAGACTCCTACCACTAATTGGTGACTAACCAAATAGCATGTGATGCTGATGAGTAAATTAATGTCTGAACTGTTGCCTTTTTTTGGTGAATTTTGATGCAGCCTTTCCTCCCCTCTGTGTCTGTGCAGACTGCATGGAGTAAAGATTGCACACAGAAAGGCAGAGAACCAGATTAAAATGGCAAAGATGATTATGATGAACGAGCTCAACAAACGAGCCAACCTATTAATAGAGCAACTGGAGGTAATTACTTTCCCTTTCTTCCCTTCTTATCGCTCAGCCAGCCGTGAGTGTTCATGTAGAGAATCCATAACTGCTGTGATTTAATCAGCCCTGGATCTGAGCAAACAACAGCCAATAACAGTCAGAGAGTGATGCTAAAGCCCGCATCCAAGGAGCACCTCATGCGTGTTTTTGGATTCTCCTGCAGAAGATTTCTGAAGACTTTCAGCAGCGTCTGGAGGACCAGCTGCAGGGGGCAATAGAGATCTGTGGCCAGCTGGACCACATTCAGAAGTTCATCACCTGGGCCTCGACCCATCACTGCAGAGGCCCGGTGCTTTTCAGCAGGGCTCTGGTGAGACCATCAACAGACGTCCGCTGTCTTATTGAAACACACACACACACACACACACACACACACACACACACACACACACACACACACACACACACACACACACACACACACACACACACACACACACACACACACACACACACACACATGCTCTTCCATTTTAGAGCTGCAATAATTACTTTGCAGGGGAAGTAGAACTACAGAAAGGTACCTCCTGTAACTTTTATGTTTGAAGTACAACTTTACCTATCCCTGTAAAGGTCAGTTCGACAGTCGCAAACATTGCTCATCATCCCGTGAAAACATTTGTACTCCGTCCTCAGTGTGTGTGAAGTATCTGTGCTGCAGTGGGCCTGGGGAAAACTGCTGAAGTTGCATCGGTAGCTTTACTTTAGCTTAGGTTCAGAAATTAGTGAAATACAGTCTGTGTTACCAGGAGCATTGAGTTTGAAAGATGGAGGCATTTATCGGGCACCTGGGCTTTAAAAATAAACAAGATGCTTTATGGGAGGTGTAGAAAATTATATTTTTGCAGCTTCACCCATATAAGGGACAAAAAGTCAGCATGCGATGGCCTCTTTATGTCAGTGTTTGTTTGACTTCTCAGGTTTAAGTGGGCCACATCATCCCCTGAGATCATTTTAACTTAAAGTTAGGAAAGAATACAAATCGTCGTCTTTTCTATTTAACCAGTTCTTTTATAAACCAGAAAGACTTCATGGATGCTCTGTGCGTTTGTCCTGCAGATTTCCCTCCAGATGAGGCAGCTGCTTGAGGCGTCGCTCCACACGGACTCCTGGAGTCCCGTCAAGATCAAGTTTAACTGGGATGCAAGTTACTGGACAAAGCAGGTTTCATCTTTAGGTAAAACTTACTTTTACTACAACACGATAAGTGAGTTAGAGAGTTTCGTGTTTCATGTAAAAAACAAAACACATCAGTATGTTTTTGATTCAAACATAAAAGATGTCTGAAAATAAAAACGGCCTCATTTGTTCATTAAAATCTTTATTGTAATTTGATAAAAACACAGGCTAGATCTTCATGTCTCCCTCACTGCTTCAGCCACAGCGCATTGTGGAGGCATGAGATCCCTCTCTGTAGCTCCTGAGGTGAAAATTTTCCCTTGGTGTCCAGTTCTGCTCCTCAAGCACCACCATCATGCATGTTTTAACACCTGATTTGAATCAATGGCTTGCTAACAGGTGCAACGATCTCAATTTACCGATCAATCTGTGTTCCTCCCCTCACCTATGGTCACTAGCTTTGGGAAGTGACCGAAAGACTGAGATCACGGATACAAGCGGCCGAAATGAGTTTTCTCCACAGGGTGTCTGGGTTCTCCCTTAGAGGTAGGGTGAGCTCGGTCATCCGGGAGGGGCTTGGAGTTGGTCCGCTACTCCTCCACATCGAGAGGAGCCAGTTGAGGTGGCTCAGGCTAGTTAGGAGGCCTCCTGGACGCCTCCCTGGTGAGGTTTTCTTGGCACATCCAACTGGGAGGAGACCTAAAGGAAGACCCAGGACACGCTGGAGGGACTGTGTTTCTCGGCTGGCCAGGGAACGCCGTTGGATTCCCCCAGAGGAGCTGGCACGAGTGGCTGGAGAGAGAAAAGTCTGGGCCTCCCTGCTTAGGCTGCTGCCCCCATGACCTGACCCCAAATAAGCAGAATAAATTGCTAATAGGCTCCTACAGAACTACAGGAGTTTTGTTGCTGAAGGGAAACAACTAAAACATGCAAGATGGTGGTCCTGGAGGACCAGGATTGTAGACCAGTTGTCTGTCTCAGGGCACCATGAGGCAGAACTGGAATCCTAACCCTTCCCACATTGTACGACCAACAAGACAAGCCATAAGAAAGTGTTACCATGCGTTAATCTTTTGCTGGAATTGGGTTTTTATGCAGGGCACACAGAGTAATGTGATGTTTTTGTATTTCTTTTACAGGCCAGTTGACCGTTGATGGGGGAAACTGCACGTATCCTTCAGGTTTGGCCTGTTCCAGCATTATGAGGCCCCAGCCCATCTCCTGCTTGGCTCTGCCTGGTGTGTTCCACAGAGGCAGAGAGCCAGGCTGCGGGTACCAGGCCTGCTGCGAGCCTCAGATGTGTTGCCTGCATGGTGTTCCCCCTCAGCCTGATCCGTCCAGTCAGGACAAAAGCCAGATGGAGCCTACGCTTTACAGCTCCAGCTGTAGTCAGCCTGCTCTGATCTCTGCTTCACTGCACCAGAGTCAGCAGCTCCAGAGGTTTTGGGACACAGAGAGTTCCTTACAGTTCCCCCCTCCTACATCTCCTCTCCCCGGACCCATCCAGGCCAGCCGCAGCCGAGGATCAGCATCACAGTCTCAAACATCTGACTCCCTAGCCCACTCTCAGTCTGTACCATACCCCTCCTGTCATCAGCCCTGGAAAGAAGTAGCTCCAGACAGCCAGACCCCCTTCAGTACAGGCCGTGGCAGGCCGGGCCAGTGTAAGGAGAAGCTGTCCGCTGGCCCTGCTTCACAGCAGGAGGTCAGCCCCAAAGTAATAGAAAGAGATGTGGTGACTGAGGAAAGCCGGGGGGAGAGGCGCAGAGAGGAGGAGGAGACATGTGGACGGACAGCAGAGGCTGGAAGTAGAGAGCTGCTGGACGAGGAGCTGGAGGCTGATGGAAGGATGCAGAGTCCAGCCCAGCAGCAGCAAAAACAGCTTCAAGCGTCTTTGGCAGCAGAGCAAATACGAACCCGACCTGCACTGATGCTGAAAGATCACAGAGGTGGTAAGGTGAGAGAAATAATTCCCCTCATGACTTGAACAGTTCTATTAATTTACTTTCAGCATTTATTCTTGTCAGCTGGACAGTTTCCGTTGATCCCAGCTGGTCAATAAAGTCACTTCAAAGGTTACGAAGTAGTGAACACATGCACTAGAGTTGTTAGGGGTCGATTGTTTCAGCTGAGTTCCCCTTTGTGTGAGTTAGATATCAAGTTCAGCTCAGTTTGGCTGTCTAGAAAAATAACAACATGCAACGCTGCATGAAAGTGCAGATGCACTTGGATTGTTCAGATGTTTCTGTGGAAATGCTACGAACAGTTAATATCTTACATTTGGAGACACCTGGATCAGATTTGGTTTGCTCTGTCAATGCACCAGTGCAGGTCAGTGAAGCTAAGTGCTAATTCATGCTACCATTAAAAGCTCCTTTAGGTAGTTTTTTTCTTCCACAATCACGATTTTCAAAAGAGTCAGATTTATTTTATGATCACCATAGTTTTTCAGATAAATTGTAATTGGCAAAATTGGTATTGGCAGGTGAGAGCAGGAATCAGAAATTGGCATCAGCCTGCAAAACCAGAATCTGTGCATCTCATTTTTTACACGTGGGTTTGAGGTTAGCAGAAAGAAATCGACTCAAGTGTTTGGAAGTGTGCAGAAAATTACAGCCGATGTCTGTCTGGCAGGAATTTCATAATAATTCTGCTCGATTAACCAGAAAAATGAAATATGATTTAAGTAAAGGTTATGAAAAGGCATTTGCGTAAACAGTTATGAAAGTTTCTGTTAATGTCTGTTGCTCCAAACTGTAGTTGTCCAAAGGTGTAGCTAAAACATCGTAACATTTCCACAGATTCCCACTTCAAAAGATGTGATCTGTCACTTTAATTAATTATAAACTCACACAAATATACTTTATAAGGTCAACTTCACTGAAAAGCCATTTTTAATGATTATTTCTGATTATAATCAGTCACTCTGAGTTTTTCATGCAGGCTGACGATGAATATAGTCTCCTACCTCCTGCATTAGCTTCTGATAGAAAATAGACGGTGAAATTCTAGGATTAAAACATCCTGACAGATCTACGTCACTCTGTCGCTGAACGTTCATGGACTCACCCATCTTGACTCGTGACGAGGAAGGCTGTTGTTGGTTTAGCGTCCAGGAAATAACAGAGAACGTCTCTGCTAGTAGAAGCTAATCGTTAGCATTAGCAACTCCACTAAACAGCAGAACTCCTCCAGGCTTTAGTTATTTGTGGAGATAAAACATCAATGTTGTGGAGCAAACTGAGTCACGTTACATTGCTGTTAGCCAATCAGAGATGAGATGTCTAAATATCAGGAAATAAGACTCTAAATCCTGCTCACCTCTGATCTGGCGCACTGAAATAAGCACATCCGAGCTCCCCCTCCCCCTCCCCCAAGTACAACTTGCAAGGCATTTTCATACTAGAGCCCACTGCAAATGCATTTAAAATATGAGCGAAGTTGATCTTTATTGAGGACTTCATAAAACAGCATCAAAGACATCAAAGTAAATTATCTGCTAAGATTTTGTGAGCTTCAGTCTCTTTGTGGTTACAGCTCAGTTTCTGAAAGCTGAAACAACTTTTTTAACCCCAACCACAGAAAGCTATTGTCACACACACGCACACACACACACACACACACACACACACACACACACACGCACGCACGCACGCACGCACGCACGCACGCGCGCGCACGCACGCACGCACGCACGCACGCACGCACACGCACGCACTTCTCAAAAGCCGCCACTGATCGGTCAAGCCTGTTTCCTGTGAAAACACAGATGTTCAAACACTGCCCAGGCACACATGAACAAAACAAAAACCTGATGAAATCAGGTAATTATTCCAACATTTTTATCTATTAAACAAAAAAATATTTCTTGTGTAGGAACCGGTGGCATCGAGTTTGAGCTGGCTTTTGGTTTCAGCTCATTAATGACTGAAAGCAACACTTTATTTTAAAGCCAAGACGTTCTCCTCTGAAAGTTGACAGCTTACCCAAAAACAGATGGCGCCATCTAAACCTGCTTGTGCTTTCATGAAGAAAGGGACGATGGGAAAACAAAGATCTGCCGTGACAATAAAAGCCGAGCCGCCAAACGCGACACGTCACGAAACTAGACGCTCTTCATCATAATCAGACTTGATGCCAGAGGTTTTTAGCAGCTGCATAATCACCTCTCTAAGAAACACTCAGGATGGATGAATACAGGCACAAAGACGTGTTATTTTTACAATTTCAAATCACCGCATTTGAAAGTGATCTAAAGCCACTCGGGCACACTCATTTATGTATTTAACCCATAATTAATGAGCCACTGAGGGAATAGCTGGAGCTGCCAGCTTGGTTCTAGCCCTGGTTTGCACCAAGATAAATTCCTGCCCCCCATCTTCCAGAGAGAAGGATTAGAGTCTATTCTCTGGGTCCTCTCCCAGGGGGCCTTAGATCAGGTAAGTGTTTTTAATCACACGATGCTTTGGATAATGAGCTCAGTTTAAGTCTGGCCTGAATATGCATGACGGTGTGCTTAGAAAAAGGGATATGGATTTATTTTTTTAAAGAAAAAGCTGCTGAAATTGAGGTGTTAGTTAAACTGTAATGTGCAAGAGAAGAAGAAAGTGGCACTGAGTGCTTTGCAGGTTTGATTTAATCAAAGCCCCACTCAGAACTTGGTAAATTAGCATTTGATAATTGGTATTTTAACCAAACCTTTCATTGCCTGTTCAAAACACTAATACATGCAGCATGTTTGGGAGCACTGCTGAATAGACTCTTGAGTGATGTTTTCATGCATTCGTCCACCACACACGTCCCACTCGTTTTCCTTTCACTTGTTAATGGAACGAACAGGTGCATTTGTGCCTTCGATTCAACCCAGAATCCTTTTTATTTGTGTGTGTGTTCATGTTTCTGACAGAGGTCCACATCCCTGGAGGTGTCTGCAGCAGCCCACGAGTGTGTGTCTGACTTGCAGAGCTGCAGGCTGAGCACTAGTTCTGCGTGCGCGAGGAGGAAGAGGCGCTCCAGGAGCATCCCTACAGAGCTGACAGCCCCATCCTCCAGCCCCTACTCTGAAATGCCTGCAGGATGCTCTGACAGCCGAGAAACAGGAGCTGCAAAGAAGGTAACGCTGCATCACAATATCACCACATACTGAGATGCTGAGGGTGGCCTGCAGAGGATCACTCGTCTACTCACTTCATCCATAAAACAACAAACTACAGCAAAGGTTTTAAATTTAAATTGCAAGTGGAACAGTTTTGAGACCCGTTTAGTAGCTGTTTGGGATCTTTCCATCTTATTTGATTTTAATAAAACACATCAGACTGTTTATGGTGGAACCACACACTATGTGTTTTCAGTCTGTTGACATGTAAGAGAAATATGAGAGTGGGGAGTTAGAAAGCTAGGAGGCTTTTCTCAACGACGGAGTCAACTTCTCATCCCATTTAAGGCTGTCAGCTGGAGGCCAATGCAGCTCCAGCTGCCAAAGCTCACTGGCATACATGGTGTGGTGGTGGTACAGGTGCAAGGTTTGACAAGTTAAACACACACACACACATTAGAGGTCGACCGATATTGGGATTTCTAATGCCAATACCGATGATATGTAAAGGTCATAGTCAGTCAATGGCCGATTTGTGTTGCTGATATTTTGGGCAGAGCTTAAAGGCCAATTTCTAGAAGAGTTCCACCTCATTGAGAGGTGAAAATGTCACTAATAACAGAAGTTGATGCACAAACTTTCTGAAGCTAAATCCGTTTTCGATCACTGAATTTAGAAGAAGAAGAAGAAGAAAATATCATTTCTATAGCGCCTCTCAAGATAAATATCACGAGGTGCTTCACAAAAACAAAAACAAAAAAATTTAAAAAACTGTAAAAATATAAAAAAGCACTTAGAGAATGTTTAAAAATATATTTAAAATGAGCAAGAAATCTGTTTTCAATCACTGAATTTAACAAGCGGTTACATCTGAATTTTGTGAACTGGTCAGTGTTAAAACCGGACATTTAACTAAAGTTAATAAAAAAAATCATATTAAATATTCAAAACTGATATAAACTAAAATAAAACTTTTAGAGCATTTGTTATTCAGAAACATAAATATTAATTTAAATTCTGCAGCAGCTCTGGGCTAACGGGGGATATGTCTGCCTTTCAATCGGCTTTACTAAGGAGTTATATCGGCCAATGCCGATACATAACAAGTGTCGAATATCAGCCCAATGCATCAGCAAACCAATATATTGGTCTACCGATGTTTACTATTATTGGTTTACCAGCAATATTGGCAATACAATTTAATATCGGAATATATCGATATCAGTTTTTATTGACACAACTTTTACACACCATACACATATTATACACCAAATTCTTCAGATGCTTCTCCTCTCTCTGAAAATAGGATAGATCTGAGGTAAAGCTTCTGAGATATTTTAGTTTATTCGGCACAACTTGTGAAGTAGAAATCGGCCAGTGTAGCGAACGTACGCTGTCCTCACCGTAGCTACGTCTAGCTAGCCAGCTAACAAACAGCTAAAAACAAAAACAAGAATCTTCACCCAAGGCTTGCTTTTCTAATCTGAAAATCTTTATAAATGTTTATCACTGTAACTACAAAATACAGAAAAAGAAAAAAACATTAGTATCTAATAAACGCATCTTAGCGTCATGACTAGGGAGAATGAGATTCAGCTGCTGTTGGAGACAAAACAAATACTACACTTTTCCTATTACTAACTGAAATTGAAGCAGTTTTCATTTTGCACAGAAAATGTTTAAAATTTAAGCACGAAGGAGATGTATGATGTTAGTAACCTAAAATGTTTTAGTTTTTCGTTTTTCATGAGGAGGACACGGCATACATCGGTATCGTTTATGTCTGTATCGTATATTAAGAGTCAGCAATATCGGTTTAACGGATATCGGTAAAAAAGCCAATATCGGAAATCCCATGGAATCCCATATATATATATATATATATATATATATATATATACACCGTAATTTCCGGACCATAGAGCGCACCTCAATATAAGCCGCACCAACAAAAAAAAAAAGGTTTTCTACACACACACGCCGCACTCGAATACAAGCCGCGGCGCAGCAGCCACATGCAGGTCTCCGGCGCACAGTGCATGTAGGGCCATAACATAAGATAATTAGACGGAAAGACGCTACATGGAGGTTTTTCGTTGTTGTTTTAATTCAACAAAACGAATTTTAAAAACGAGTGAACGTGGCTGCAAGTTTAGAAAAGAAAACAGCACTGATAGCATTCATATTTCTGGATGTTACAAAATAAAAACAGAACTGACACTTTATTACCGGTAATTTGCATGTTTAGAAGAAAAGAACAGCGCTGACACAGCATTAATAAGCCCTGGATGATTAGAAAATAAAAACTGCACACAAAACATGCCTGGTTAGTAAATAAAACACTCTTGCCTACCAGAAGAAGTCATTCGCTCTCATCTTCCTCCTGCGCACTAAAGCCATTAAAGTCCTCTTCTTCAGTGTCGGAGTTGAAACAGCCTCAGAAGAGCTTCGTCACATACCTTTTCTGTGGCAATGTCAGTGTCGCTGTCCGTGTTGCTGTCATCATCCCCGGGTGAAGCTGGCTTGAACGAGTTCTTCCCGCTGCCGTCTCCAGCGCCGAACCATGGATTCATTCATGCCAAGCTTACGTGCGGCAGCACTGTTTCCCTCCTTTACTGCCAGATCGATGGCCTTCAACTTAAATACGGCATCATATGAACTCATACGTGTAGTTTCCATGATGAGGGGGTATGGCTTTGAAAAACATTCTTCGCCGTGCCGGCTGCTTGCAGGTGCTAAATTAAAATGAGCACTTTCTTCGATTTCCACTTTTGACTTCCACCTGTTTCACTTTCTGCTAAAGCGCCCCCTAGTGGCAGGTGAAGGAAAATCTTCAGTAAAGCTGCCCCTCATTATGAGCCGCATGGTTCAAAGCGTGGGGAAAAAGTAGCGGCTTATAGTCCGGAAAGTACGGTACACACACACACACACACACACACACACACGCACGCACGCACGCACGCACACACGCACGCACGCGAGAGAGCGAGAGAGAGACAGAGAGAGAGAGAGAGAGAGAAGAAAAATCACATTTATCGTATTGTTTGGGATTATTTAGTATCATCACTTTATGGAATCTGTTATTTCAAATATTTATATAAGTTTGTGATTCAACGGTGTTTATTTTGTTCTCAGTTTGACGTGATGGATCCCAAACAAAGAAGAGCTTCAGATGGAGTGCTTTGTGTTGTCAGGGAAACGGACAAGCCCCCATCCAGAGGGCACCTGTCACCTTCTCTACCCTATAAACTAGAGCCAGGTGCTGTGAGATTAAATTATCCTGACTTTATTCTGACAGACGACTGAATGAATGCATGTCTGTCCACTTAATTTTTTTAGATCATCCAGCAGCTTCTGTAAACAAAGAGAAAACTGATTATGGAGCAAACGAGAAGCACAGAATATCAAGAAACAGCTTCAGCAGGTGTGTATGGTAAAAATCAGGAGGATCAAAGTCTAAATGTCTTAATTCATTCTCTGCTTCTCTTTGAAGTAACGGAGGAGCGGTGAAGGACTTAGGCCGGCCCAGGGTGCCCGTAGTTTGCTTAGAGCGCCTCAAAATACTCGTTTCACAACTTCCACCGCACGGACGAAGACAGAGTGACCCGCTGCCCGCCAGCGAGACGGACAAGAGCCAAAGCATCCCTCAGCAGAGAACCTGGCACTTGGGGATGCAAGAAGTATGTCTTTATTAATGACTTTCTGTTTTTGGCTATTTTGTCTAATTTAAATATCAAAAACCAACCAAAATAAACAACAAACTACCAGTAAAAAGTAGTTTTATACATTTTCCAGGAAAAAAGTAAGAAAAGTCTTATTTCTCAGTTCATTTAGACAGTCATTCTGTGTCAAAGTGATTTACTAAACAATAATGACCTTTTTCCTCTTCTCTTGTAAAATAAGGGACTACCTGGAGGGCCTGTCACCAGGAGGACCACCCGCTCACTCACAGCTCCTCCAGGCACAGAGCCGCACGCACACAGCCAGTCATCAGCATCTTCAAACAGCAGCGAATGTGACAGCCACGACAGCAGAACGAGACTCGTCTCTCACAGCACATCCACACCGCTTCCCACCGACTCCCACTACATGTCACAGTGCTGCTCTGTGCTTGATCTGGACTCTGACTCGGATCCCAGGTCCGTTCCAGAGAATCCCACCATTTCACCGATCCTTCTAGACCTACAGCTAAACTCAGGTGCATCGGCGGAGTCTGACTCAAGTGCACACTCTTCATCTGAGGCTGAATTTGAGCATGTGGCCGAGAGGAAGCCAGCAGCGGCAGCCGAGGTGAGGCCGTGCGGGGACTCAGAGCCGAGTCTGGATTACGAGGCCGACCCAGATCCAGACTCGGATGGAGATTCGGAGGATGGTCGAGGTCTGGATGCTGATGCTGAAACGGAGTCCGATACCCAGCCAGAGTATGATCCAGGTATTCTGGCTGAAACCGATTCCGACGTCGTGTCCGGACCGCCCCCAGACTCTCAGGGCTCCTTGGAGTCCGAGCTTGACTTGGAATCTGAACCGGAGCTGACGAGTGATGAGCCACAGCCGCTTCGCTCTGACCTGGAGGAGGAGCTCCCGACCGGTCCGGCCAAGAGACCGCTCCTAATCGCAAACCCTGGTGCTCAGCGGGGTACGGAGGACATCCAGGCCGAGCAGGATGTGGATGAGATGGAGAGCGAGGACTTTTGCGCCGTTTGTCTGATCGGAGGAGAGCTGCTGTGCTGCGACCGCTGTCCTAAAGTGTTCCACTTGTCCTGCCACATCCCACCTCTGCTGAGCTTCCCCACGTAAGATTTATGCCCGCAACCTCTTAAATGTCCATTTTGTAACCGCAGCGACTAACTTCAGGCGGCTTCTTTCTTGTTTAGAGGCGACTGGGTGTGCAGCCTGTGCAGAGATGTTGTCCAGCCTGAAGTTGAGTACAACTGTGAGAATGAGAAAACATCTGGAGGACACACAGCCCACGGACTGTCTGCACGTGACCAGAGAGTAAGATATTCTATCATTTTCAATAATCGGAACACCGATAAGTAATTATTTATGCCGTTTTCCTGGGTTTTCATCCAAATTTCTCTCTTGTTGCTTGCTTTGAATGCAGAAATGCGAGCGGCTGACTCTCCTGATGCTCAGCAACATCTTGAGCTCTCCCTTCCACGAGCCCGTCAGTCCACTAGTGAGTCGTCCTGGTGCTCTTACTGTCCAAACACTGGATCGTTTTCACTGTGACACTAATTTCTCATCACAGAGTCCTGCTTACGGTTTCTGCCGTGTGCCCTGGGGGGGTTTCCTCTTGTTACACAAACACACTTTGATTGCTGCTGTCTTTGTCGGCGGTTTGGGGTTTTTAGGATCCCCATGGATGTTTTCTTTTAAAATTTTCTTTCATACTCTTGATACTTTTTAATTATTATTCCTCATCAAAGCAGAATGGGTGCATCTGTAGGACCTAAAATGTTTCTATCCTCAGAAGGTATTCACAAAGTTTAGTTTTAGAAAGGATTTGAGGTTTGTGGTATTTGAGTTTAAACACTGCAAGACTACACATCAAATAGATTCAATCATTTCAAAAACTATTGTGTTTGGGTTTATTTCACATTTTGCAAAAATGTTTATCAACTGTCACCAAGCAGCATCAGTAGCTTGTAAGACTCAGTTTTGATTAAAGTCACACTGATCAGTTTCCTGCTCCTCCACCCTACTGGTTGAAAGTGGAATTACAACTTTTGTAAACAACCCTGCTTGCAGCCTGCTGTAGCTAGCGTCAACAACGAGCTAACACTAACATGAGCCAACTAATACTAAAATAAAGGACAAAGTAAAAAGATCCACACAGTTGGACAAAAAAATATTATTAATTAGAAGTCCAGTTGAAAACAAAGTCAGGTCACCATTAGTCTGTGATTTTATAGCCTCCTTTAGGTCCCTCAAACTAGTGTAGGCCGTGCCAATGTTCACTCTGGTTTTAGCTCTTTGCTTCACTTCCAAATAAATTACTTTCTTACTTTTATTTCTAAGATCTGCCATGATGCCAACAAAGGAAACTTCTTCTTTTCCTTCTTCATGTGCTTTTTATTGATGATTGGCAAATGGAAAAAGCTAACTGCTAGCATAACAGCTAACAGCTTTAAAGCAGTTAAAGAGCTTCCCCTATTGACCCTTTGCACCGACGTCACCTAATCACGTGGGCCCACCACGGTGGACGGCAAAAGCATGTAAACAGTGAGCGACACGATTACTAAACAAAGGGAAAAGTAGAGCCTGAAATTGTTTTTAAGATCAAAACAAAAACAAAACTCCTCCAGCATTCCTTCAACTAGTTCATGCCCAGTTCAGTTATCAGAAGAAGTAGCACATCTAGCGGGGGCTCATAGAGAGCGGTACGTTAACTAGCTTACCAACGTTAGCTTACGTTCTCGCTGCAGCTGTTCACCGATGTAAACATGTTGCTGACTTTGCCTAAATTCACCCCTCTGGGTTTATAACTTTATGTTATAAACAGCGTTTCACTTTACACCAAAGCTGATTTTTAAAAAGTCCGGATCCCTACTAGCTTCTGTTGCTGGTGGTGTTACCGGGTTCAGCTGCTGCTCTCACGCCGGAATGAGAAGATCTCTGAACAGCGGCACTCATATAAATAACGTAATTTTAACACACGTAATCATACATCAGAGCTTTAATATTGTTAATAATTGTCTCGCTTTACACTACAGTGGACGGCGAGCATCCTCCGTAGTGAAATACCCATCCATCAGGATTATCAATAACTTGTATAAACACATCACATTTATCCCTGTCCCCGTCTTCCTCGTGAAATAAATGAACGTTAATCTTACCCGGTAAAAACATGTTCGCTGCAAATCTGAGGCCTGCTAGTCCACTTGATTGATTGATCGCTGCAGTTCATCTCCGTCCTCAGTCTCCATCAAAGTTATTAAAAAGAAAAAACGAGTTGAGTTTACGTCCTTGTCTCTCAGTGCAGCCAACCACGCAGCAAGCTAAAACCATTTTACTGTCAAATCTACTAAATAAAAGCGATAAAAGGCTACAAACTGGCTTGTTTTGACTACCTTCACTGGAGTTTCTACGGGTGTAAACGGTCTTTTTGCCGTCCATCATGGCGAAGAGGGCGGTCACATGAGTGGCGTGACATCATGTGCAAAGGGTCAATAGGGAACCTACCTCCTCCACAAAACTGTTACGTGCATCATCTGGCCAGCAGAGGGCTGCAGAGTGGTGCCAAATATGAAACTAGTCAAGATTCTAACTCAACATTCTGACGTTAAAGCTCTAGCTTAAAGTTTAAAAAATATTTAGTGTTACTTTAAAACTATCTTGTAATCACACAGATGGATGCACGTGTCCAGCAGAAGGTGCTTTGAGGAACTTTGTTATTTAGCTTCAGTGAGGTAACTTCTGAGTCCTAAATGTTTGCTTTGCCACGCAGGCCCGCCATTACTACCAGATCATCAAAAGACCAATGGATCTGTCTGTGATCAGAGCTAAACTCAGTAAAGGGAATCCCAAACATTACAACTCTCCAGATCAGTTCGTCTCTGATATCTGCCTCATGTTCCGCAACTGTGCAAAGTTTAATTATGTGAGTAAAACACGAAAAAAAAAAAAAACTGCATGTGTGGTTAGTGGATTACAGTCTAACTTATTACTAACACACGTGACCCTCTGACCAACAGCCCGACTCTGAGGTGGCCCAAGCGGGCCGCAGCCTGGAGGCTTTCTTCACCTCCAAGCTGCAAGATGTCTTCCCAGACAGAGTCTTCCCCGCAGCTGAGGTGGACTCAGACAGCGACGAGTACGACGAGGCCTACAGGACCGCTGAGGGGGGCTTCCTCTGGCCGGAGAAGAGGGAGCAGTGTCACAGGAAGAGGAAAAGGAGGCAGTCGCTCAAGTCAAGGAGACATCACTTCTAATTTACAGGAAAAATTCTCACATTAGATAATTATTTTGTAATCTTGACAAGATTTTCCTCCTATAATCATGAATTTATATTGTGGTTTGCAGTAATACAACCGTGCTGCCATCTGATGGCAGCTGAACATATTGACACTTTAAATACTGGTGCAGGCAGCTGATTAAAGGAGCAGAGAGTGTGTAAAAGTGATGAAGGCAGCATGCAGCTGTCTGGATGTGCTTACTGAGTTGCTCCTGTAGCCATAAAACGTGTAATGCTGTAAAAGTTACTTTTGTTGTATCACATTATAACCCTGTACTCTTTGTTCTGGATGCACTGTTCTGTGTATGTAACGAAAATCATGCACGCTTTTATGCTACATGCTGTGTTTTACAGGCAGGAAACTCTTACGGGAAGGTTTGTTTTGCGTCTAGTTTAGGACTTTTTCAGGGTATTATTGAATGCTGTAATTTTTCCACAAACGTTCTACATATTCTACATTTTTGCCTGTGGAGAACTTAATTCTGAGTTGAAATGGTTGCAAACAGTTTTTTAGGTTAGGTCTTGATGCACTTTGGGATCTTGTAGCGTTTTTCTTACTAAAGCGGCAGCAAATATTTTCCACCTTTGTGTTTTTGAGCTGAGTAAAGGAGAACGTGAGCACTAAAACCTGTTAGAGCTCGCCAGAGCAGATATATCGATATAGTTTTATGTCTTTATGAATAAAGTAAAAAAAAATAAATGTGGACCTTGTATAAAAATGTCAGTTTCACCAGTTTTTTGTGGAAACCGTGTAAAAATTTAATATCTAAATAACTCAGGCTTAATGAAAGTGTATGGTATTAAAAATATTCAGTATATTAAAATGTCCCTGATGTTTGTAGAGCCAGTATGTAATTTTATAAGACCTTAGAGCATTTTAACGCTTTTATTGATCACTGCAGCTTAAACATCTGATATAAATTCACGTAAGAGTCCAGAATGCACAGAATATGGGACGATCAAATGTAACTACGGTTTCTGTTTCAAATGTTTGTTTCCTTCTTTTGTGTTATTGTAATAATCTACAATAAATACAACTGTTAAAACAACCAGCAAAAGCATCATAATTTCTAGGTTATTTGGAAATCGTCTCAGTGTGTCAGCGGAAATAAAAACAATTAGAAATGTATTTAAAAAGACATAACTCATCTTAATTAATATGTTTCTATGTTCTGATCTCAGAAGAGTTAAGTGTGTAACTCTAACCAGTGTTCATTTTTTAAAACTGACAGCAAATACCACCTAACAGATTTAACAATATTTAAATATAATTTAGAATATTAGTAAAAAACAAAAATCCACTTTCAGTAACTCAGTTACTTTTTAAAATAACAACTCTGCAGCTTCTGGTAGAAATCAGTTCGGTAGAATAATGTCGTCTTTTCCCAAATACATGGAACAGGAAAAACAAGAACGGAACATAAAAGGAATCAAAGCCAAAAAGTATGAGACTCCATTCTGATTTTAAAGAGATACTATTGCACTGAAAAAAAGAGGGTTGGCCAAAAAATAGACTTAATATAATTTCCTTTCATGAAAAACTTTCATGTAATTTTATTATATAAAATAAGTCATTTGACTAGTGCTTAACTATTTCAGTAAATAACAACTATTAGTACGATTACTTGGGCCAAGAAAGTATGAAGTTTCCTTCTTTTATCGTCTTCAGACCAACTGAAGCATAAACGGCACACTGGGGATTTGCTGCCCCCTAGCAAATTTGGTAAAATTCATACAAATAGGATTTGATTAAAATAACAATAGACTTTAAGATGGAGCTTTACCTTAATCTCTGTGATTGTTGAGTTAGAAACTTGACCAGTTACATATTTGACATCATTCTACTGCCCTATCAAAAAGACTGAGACACAAACAGAGACCGGATCCATGCCATGCCTCGTTGTTGGCTCCATTGGTGCTTTAAGGGTTTTAGTGGTTTTAGTACAGACTGTTTTAATGGGAGAAAGCAAGAGTGCAATTAGGCTTTTAAAATAGATGAGGGTTCAGAATGGCTCCCTCTTAGCTCCAAACCTTGTGAGTATGGTCAGCGGACCTTTGTGTTGGTCTGTTAAAGCTGTATGCTTTATATTAGGAATCCCCATTTTAAACATGTTAACAGTGTCCTTTTGAACACAGTTTTTTGTTGAACTTGCTTGTTTTGTGGAGCGGGTAGGTGCTCTATAGGGGGCCTGATTTACGGCAGTTAGCATTTTCAGTTTTCCGATCGGCAATAAAAAGCACAAAAAGAAGGAAAAGAAGAGGTTTACTTTTTCTGTTAGCATCATGGCGGAGCCTGGAAGTAAAAGTAAGAGAGTAATGTCTTTGGAGGCGAAACAAAGACCTAAAACAACGTGAACATAGGCGCAGCCTACGCTAGTGTGAAGGAGCTAAAGGAGACTACAAAATCATGGACTGATGGTGACCAGGCTTTGTTGCTATTGGACTTGTAATAATATTTTTTGTCCAACAGTGTCTGTTTTTAGAAACGATAGCATGAACGCACAGCGAGAAGATAGGTTTTGCTTTTGGTTTTACACACGGACACTAGAGGGGTGCTAAAGCAAGCCAAAACTGCCTATTCTCGCTTTAAAATAAAAGATTTGGAGTAAAATACAAGTATAAGAAATCTGAGACCTTTGAACGAACAACTGGACCTACGTCAGAAAATCAGCCTATGTCATTGTCTTCAGAGTCATCAGTGGTTTTGTCTGAACTAAAAAACATTGGGTAACATTTTACTATAAGGGTCCCTTTACTGCTTAGTGAATATTTGGAAATGTTGATAAAGAGAATAATTGCTTATTAATGCTTAAAATGCACTAAGTAATGTTAAAAAAAGGGATTCTTATTGTAAAGTATTAGCAAACATTTAGATTCAGACATATCAGTAATTTAAAGAGTCAATTTCTTTTTTAAAAAGGCTCATCCTTAAATGTTTATGATGGTTGTTTTGAGACACACAGGGCTTTAAAGTCTGCCAAACCATATCATTTGAACGAGTTCACGAGTCAAGTGTTGTAGTTTGCTTTGGAAATGCACTCGTATAAATGTTTAAAAGGCCTCGGTTTGGGTGACACAGATCATGTCGCAGCATTAACCCGGTAATGAAACGTCTGCTGCCAGAAAGGCTCTTAGCCAGAAAGGATGTCTGGCAGGAACTTGTGAATACAAACTTTTAGCATCAGCTTCTCCTCTCACGACAATAATACATTATATAAATAACAATTCTTTATAAATGCATTATATTAGTAAAGTAGTACTATTTATTTTGAGAAACTGATAATGCGTGTCATATTCAGCAACATCTATTCCACATATTGGCTATGACTACATCGGACGACGGTGGCACAGTTAGGTGCTCGCCCCGAAATCGGAAGGTTGTAGGTTCGAGCCTAGTTGTCATTTCGTCCTTGGGAAAGACACGTATCCCACCTTGCCTGCTGGTGGTGGTTGGAGGGACCGGTGGCGCCTGTGTATGGCGGCCTTTGTCAGTGCGCCCCAGGGCAGCTGTGACTACAATGTAGCTCATCACCACCAGGGTGTGAATGAGTGAATGACTGTGTTGTAAAGCGCCTTGGAGGGTTCATGTACATTTACATACATACATACATATTCTCTATAAGGCTGTCTGTGTTGGATAAAAATAATGTTCTGTCAAACAGAGTTCATTAACCTTATCCACATTTATAATGGTAAATAAGTGGATGCATAAATGATGATTTTGTCTGGGAAAACATCTGGTGTTGTTTTGCTCCTGCTAGAGGGAAAAGTCGACCGTGTAAGTCTGCAGTCGTGTTATCACAACAAAGCTTCTTTGAATCTGGGCTGTGAAGGAGGAGGTTGGGTCAACTTTCAATGTGTGTGCGTGTTTTGACATCTGTGAATAAAACCTTTTGATGAGCTTCTGCTTGTTGGGAGACTAAACTGCCCCCCAGGTTGTGTGCGTGGTTCTTTGGTCTCCCCCAATAATCTCTGATGATTGATTATTAATGTTTATTGATAAATAGTAATAATAATTGTAATATCTCTAACCCCCCTTGTGTGTTTTGGACTTTCTTTGAGGTACACCTGTATTAAATAAATAAAAAATACCCAACAGTCTGCATTTTAATGCATAACCTCCTTTGACGCCAAATCCAAAATGTAATTGTTTAGGTTTTTTTTGTTGAGGTCACCTAAGTGTTACTAAATGAGATCTCGTTCTTCCAGGTTTTCTTGTGTGATTTCAAACAAAATGCTTCCAGTGGTACGTGAGCAGACTAATTACAACATAAACATTATTTCACACAGAGATTTATTGTTCATTGCTCTCTTGGGTTCTCCACTGTTTTGTTTAGCCTGGTTCTAATTACCTTACATCACTTTAATGTGACTACAAAGAAAAAAGCCTTTATTGTCAGTTTTAATTAAGTTTAAAATCAATGACATGCACATTTCACTGTCACTCAGAGGTTATCCAGGCTGTAGCAGAATTACACCTTGCTGTGGAGGACTACGTTAGACTGATTAGCTTGTTGGTCTTCTCGAAGAAGTTTTGCATCACGATAAATGAAACAATCATTGTTTCTGTTCCTAACTTGGCACCGTGCATGTGTTTTGGGTTGAAAAAAGTAAAACGTTTTTGTACAGTTATATTATTTACAACAGCAAATCTAGATGATTTTGCAGGTTTCTTTGCAGAAAGTTAGAAAATCCTAAAAGTTCTTTGATTGAAATGAAACTGTGCACGAGACACATGGAAAGGTTTATGCTGATGACATGTTTGCTACTTCCTGTTAGACTGGCAAGCCACATATGTGAGTATATAGTCTGGCCACGAACTTTTCACGGCTCTAAGTCATGGATTACGGCTCTTTTTCAAACTGTCTCCACATGCTATTGGACAACAAACAACATGACATCCTAACTATGGATGTAAGTCAGCGGGGCAGTCAGCCATAATCCATCGAAGAAGATGAAAATGCATCATGTTTCTATGTAAACTTAAGTTCCTCTTCCTGCTTTTGAGTCAAAGAAAAACCAGAGTCTAAATTGTCATATGAGTTTCGCTCAGTCTCACTAACATCCCGACCACTAACCAGATAGAGCGCTGTGATTGGCCAGCCATCAGAGTAACTAGGGCTGTGGATGTTCCAATAGAGCGTGGCTAGACTGACATGCAGAGCTAAATCATTTAGCTTCAGCAACTATGCGTCACGAGTTGGTTTAGGAGGATGTTTAGGACCCAAGATGCAGATACCAGACGAATGAGGCAGGAGGTGGAAGATGAAAAAAAAATCCTTTATTTAGGAGTAATCCAAGAAGGCAGGGAGCCAAAAACCAAAAATCCAAATGACAAACACTAGAGATCCAAAAAACACTAGAGAACTAGAGACACTAGAAGCTAGGGAGCAAACGAGACGAGACTGACACGAAAAATGAACCGACAAAACACTGACACACAGACAGGGTTTTATACACTGGGGAGGATGAGAGGGAGATGAAATGCAGGTGTGTGGGGAGAGAAATCAGGTGAACTCAATTACTAATCAGGGAGAGGGCAGTGAGTTGAAGAGGAAGAAAAATAACATGACCTAAGATTAAAGACAAAACCTAGAAACAAGAAGAGCAAAATAACTAACTAATAATCTGAGGAAGGAGAACTAAAGAACCGGTGGGGGGAACGAAACATACTAAAAGAGACTAATAGATGAACAGCTGAAACTAAAGGAAAACACTACAGAAAGAAAAACTACAGGGGCGTGACTAAGGGCGACCACGGGAGCACAGGTCCTGGAGGGTGATACCTGGGGAGGGGAACCTAGAGGGGCTCCAGATCTGGGGACACATGAGGAACACAAGGAGACACATGAGGGAGACGTAGATAAGGACACAAGAAGACGCTAGGAGACACAAAAGGAGAACCTAGAGACGGAAGGAGAACACAAGGAGACACATGAGGGAAGACAGATGCAGACCATGACACTATGGTCTAGATTTACTTTCTCTGCCACAAATTTGTTTATTCTTTTGTAAGATTGTCTATTATTTCCAGCAACAGCAACATTTC